CCTAGGAGCACGTGAGGTACTGGGGAGAGGTCCAGACATAAGCTGTAACAGCCACCCACAGAGGCCTTGAGCCCTGACTCAGTAGATGTCCCAGCAGCACAGCCTCCCTGGACCATGCAAACACCTGGGAGTTTTCAGCCCAGTATCTTCCTCACACACAGGCAGAGGCCTGGGTCTGTTCAGCTTTCCTGAGCCCCCAGCACTAATCAGACTGATGCTACTGATGCCGCACGATGGATCCTGGATCCAAGAGGTAGATTCCAGATCCTTGTATATGGTAAGCAAAGAATTGCAAGTGGACACCCAGTGGTAAAAGAAACAGCTGCCACACTTACTAACGTATCAGGAAGGTGTCCTTAGGGAAGGTCCTCGCCAGCAGAATCAAAAAGGTGGTGCAGACAGAAGAAAAGCGTTAAATTAGGCTTTCCGGATTTTAAAAGATATACACAGCTTTTACCCCTCTCATTGGGTCCCTGGGTAAGACTGACAGGAGTGATTAACAGGGTCTGACTCTCCTCAGGAGTACCACACACGTCTGTCCCAGAACGCGCTCTGATTGAATCACACACGAGATGCAGTCCTTATGTATGAACCTTTAAGGAGGTTCAAGTGGGAGAGAGGTTATGATCAACCCTGTGTGCTTAGCCTGGAGCTTTAGACATTTCCAGGGTTTTTGTTATTGTTATTTTTATTTCTGCTTCTCTTAGGACCTTGCAAGGAGGCCCTGGGATGTGGTCCACATTCAGGTGGAAGGAGGAGAGTGATCTCCCAGCCCCAACGCTGCTACCTGTACTAAGCCTAGCCACCCTTTCCTTTTCAGGTGATTTGGGGGCACATCCTTGCCTTTCTGAACTCTTCCCACTGGCTGGCCCTCTTTTTATGAGGAGGGACATGGACAAGAGAAACAGAGCTACCTGCTTGGTAAAAAAAAAAAAAAACCTAAAGGGACGGTAAGGTTACATCAATATAAAGATATATTTTATCTTTTTGGTGTTGGAGATTGAACTCAGGGCCTTACACATGCTAGGCAGGGCTGTACTGCTGAGCTACTTCCCAGACCTCATCAACATACTTTTAAAACAAGATATCTGGCTGGGTGTGCAAGTGCACACCCGTAGGCCCAGCACTCGGGCAGGAGAAGGCCAACCTGAACTACATAGCAAGACCTTGTTTCAAAAAATAAAATTGAAAACAAGATTGGACAGTCATGAGGAGACTGCTGTCCAGCTAGAAATCTGTGACAAGGAACACATAGCAAATGCTTAATGAAACAAGAACTCTTCTTCCTACACTGTGAAATGATAGGAAACTACTGAAGAGTAAAGGGCTTCTGGGATGTGGGAGCACGTGAGGTACTGGGGAGAGGGAAAGAAGGAGAAATTTTGTATGTATGTATATACAGGATAGTTAACATGGTTGTTCTTCTGTCTTCTATTTCTATGCTGAAAGAAACTGTCAACGAGTCCTTGGTTGACCAGTATTGCATGTCTATATCTGTTTTCATGAGAAGCCACTTTGAAGATATCAATATGTAATACAACCACCATTGTTAATTCCCTACCACTTTGTTTGTAACTCTGTATTGTCTGTATTGTGCTTGTGATATGTTGTAAAATGTTGTATGTCTGTTAAAAAAAAAAAAAAAAAGAACTCTTCTTCCTGGCATGCCCCTTCCCCAACCTTTCCTGTTGCGGGGCCCCCAGAGCACCTTGCTTCTCCCAAGCAGAGGGGATTGGAGAAAGGATCAGGCACCAGCCTTCCCTCCTGCAGACCACTGAGTGACCCTTTGGGAAAATCTCAGCTCCTTACACCTTTGACCTTAGGGACAAGGAGTGTGACATGAATGGTGGTCATTTTAGCTCTGTGCGCTTCCTGGAGGCAACAGCAGGACTGAGGGCTCTGTGGTGGACTGACGGCTGGTGGTCAACTTGTCACCCCCAACTGAACCGAACCAGCGTGGCGCTGGGTGTGGGAGGCCCACCTGAGGATCGTTGCCGGCAGCGTAAGAGGCAGAACTGGAGAGGAAGAAGTTTAGAGGCTGTTGGGAAGCTGCTAGGGAGCTGCTGGTTCTGCTGGTTCTCTTGGGCTGTTGTGCTAGAGGAACTTGTCATGCTGGCTTTCCTGATGAACTTGGCCGTTCTCATTGGAAAAGGAGCTTGGGACCTCTTTGTCCCTGAGAATGGCTACAGTTCACTTTTCGGGAGCTCTGCTTCTTACTTTGAGGATCACTTCCCGGCTCTGGAGGGGAAGATGGTGCACTGCTCAGTCTCCTGGAGAAGCTTGTCGTGTTGGCTTTCCTGATGGGAACTCAGCTGTCCTCGTCACTGGAGGACCTCGGGACCTCACTGTTGCTGAGGATGGCTGCAGTACTTTTCAGGGGAGCTCTGCTTCTTACTTTGAGCGTTGCTTCCTGGCTCCAGTGCGGATCTCTCAGCCTGCTAGCACAGATCCTTCATCCCGCTGGCACAGACTTTCTAGCTTCCATCACTGACCTTTGGGCCTTCCCAGCACAGATCTGTGAAACAGGCCTGAATGAGGCATTGTCGTGGGCTCTAGGTCTTCAGCAGGACTCATGCAGGACATTACTGTGGGATCCAGGCCCTCAGCTGGATTCCTTGGTCTTTAGTGTGTGGACAGATTTCCTGCACTCTTTGTATATGCCTCTTTAGGAGATTATTATAAAATAATCTTATAATTGTTCCGTACTATATTGTTTCTCTTTGCAAGACTCCAAACTACAACATGCTCCCGGCCAGGAGTCCTCAGAGAGGGGCTGGAGGGTACCGGCTGTCAGGCCCTGGAGGTCCCCTCGCAGTGTAGGGTGTCTGGGCCTTCGGCTGGGGCAGGTGGGGCACCCCACTGACTGGGGGCCGGGGAAGAGGGCATCACCCCACCTCTACCTCACCTCAGGCACCCACTGTATTTGATGGGGCTGGCCCTAAACAGATGCTGCCGGAGCACTGAAAACCTCATTGTGTTACTTTTCCTCATCAAATCCATTATTTTGGTTTTAAGGTGATAGTTCACAATGCAAATCAGGGAAAAGCTGTGGGGAAAGTCACCTGAATAGGAGGTGGAAAAGTGCTGTTGATGCCAGGCGTGGTCGCACACGGCTATAATCCTAGCACTCTGAGAGGCTGAGGCAGGAAGATCACCAAATTCAAGTCTCGCCTGAGCAATTTATGGAGACTGTCTCTCAAAATCTTTTAAAATGGATGGGGATGTAGTTTAATGCGAAGGGAGTGAGTTCATTCCACAGTACCAGAGGGGAAAAGAGCCTGTGAGTGCCTCCAGGTTCCTCCCGGGAAGACCCCACAGCGGTTCGAGTGGATGGCCAGGCGGAGGGCAGGCAGCAGCTCCCAGGTCTGCCAGGGCAAAAGATCTTCTTCCCGAACCCTCACCTCCGCACCTCCGCCTCCAGGTGGCGCTGACGCGAGCGGAGCGCGCGTTTGTCACTCATGGGGAGGAAGGCGGGCCCTGAGAAGTGCTGAGTTCTGATTGGCTGCTCTCAGTTTGGCTTTCTCTTCGCGTTCCCCGCGGGTGTGGGGTGGGGATGCCCCGCCCCGTACCTGAGCGAGACTGGGACGCAGGAGGAGGTAAGGACCTGGCTCACCTGACTGACACAGGGAAAAAAGTACAAAACATCTGTGGCACATCCCCTGGGCACAAAGACAATCCTAATTTAAGAGTTTTAAAAATACAGTTATGTATATAAGTTTGCCACTTTTCAGACATTCGTAAGATACCTCGTAAATTCACACACCAGGAGGAAATTTTTGGTGGGACCAGTTTAGGCTAAATCGACCTTTTCCCTAGGAGGCGGCTGAGGCTGAGGGTCCCCAGGCCGGCTCTCCGATCTCGCGCGCTCCGCCCAGGGTCCGCCCCGCGCGGCTACCCCGTCCCCCGCGGTCGGCGGCCGGCCCGCCGGGGCTCGCGGGCAGCGGGGGCTCAGGGCGCACGCGCGAGACTTGCCCCACCCTGCGGCCGGGAAGCGGCCGGCGGCGGAGAGCAGCGCCCCGAGGAAGCTTGCGGTGAGGCCGCCCCAGGGCCCGGGTCGCAGAGGCCTGGGTGGAGTGGCGAGGGGCTCCCGGGTGAGGACCGCGGAGGGGAGAAGAGGCTGGATCGGGGTGCCCTGCGCGGCCGGAGTGGCCGCTCGCCGGTGCCCGGTGGTGCGGAGAGCGCAGCAGCCGGCCACGTGCAGGACTGAGCGCGACGGGACCGAAGCCTTTGTCGCTGGGGAAGGTGGCCGAGGAAGGGTTGGCAAACCAGCGAGAACCCGACGAGGGCGACAGCGCCAGGCGTGGGCTCCGGGGCGCAGGCTGGGGGCAGGGGCGCGCAGGCCGGGCCGGCTGCTCGCAGAGTAAGGAGGCCCGGCGGCGAGGCACGGCCTCGGAGGCTCGAGCGGCCCCGATTCCCACCGAGGAATTTCTTGTCAAGGGTAATTGCGCGTGTTCTCCGCTCACCTACAAAGTTGCCAGCTACTGTTCCACAAGGGCAGAGACCCAGAACGCCTCAGAGCTCGGACACTGCCCTCCTCCCAGGCCTTCCTGACTCTGCTCCTCCCCAGAGGAGTTTCCCGCCCTCTGGCGTTACCCTCTTGCTTATCATCAGTCGATGCACACGATGAAAGTTCCCAAGGGTTTGTCGCGTCCTTTGCTGCTTTCTCAAGGCCTATAATGTGCCTGGCATAGTAGGTGCTCAAGAAATATTTGGCCTTAGCCAGGCAGGGTGACACTTGCCTGTAATCCCAGCACTTGGGAGGCTGAGGCAGGAGGATTGCCATGAGTTGAGTTGGAGGCCAGCCTGGGTTATATAGTGGGTTCAAAGCCAGCCTGAACTGCCCTTTCTCAAACCCCTTGCCCCCGCCCCCAATTTGTTAGCCTGTAATCTCAGCGCTCTGGGAGGCTGAGGCAGTAGGACTCAGAGTTTACACCCAGCCTGGGCAATTTAGGGACTTAGCAAAACCATGTTAAAAAGAACAAAAAATTTTTTAAAGGCTGGGAATGTAGCTCAGTGTAAACACCCTGGGTTCAATTCCCAGTACTGCATAAATAATAAATGAGTACTAAAAGAACTATTTGTTAAGCAGATGAGGGTAGCAGATGTTTCTTGAACTGTAGAGAAGGATCCCTCGGCACACAGCCCAGGATACCTGGTGAAGAGAGGGCCCCTTTGGCCTGTGAAAAGTTTGGGACAAGACCTCCAGGTTTCAGAGGTTTGGAAAAAGCCACCCCACTCACGGAAGAGTATCAAGCTGTTGGCACCAGGCGGCCCAGGGAAACCCTGCACCTTTGCCTAGGAGCCAGGAAGGGTCTGGCCCTATGGCTCTGTGACCTTGGCCTATGGTGTCTGTCAGGCTGCTGGGAGAGGGAGTGGGACAGTTACTGCTCATTCGCTCTGTCTGGAGCTGCTCCAGGTGCGTGGCCTGCTTTTATACAGTCCTAGTTTGGAACTGTCTTTATTTGATAGGTGCAGAGAGTAAGTCTGGGACCTGTCTGAGAGCACAGTCTTTGTTGTTGTAGAACTGGGATTGCAACTGGGGCCTTTGTACAGAGGTACAAGCCCAGCCTTTTTATTTTTTTAAATTTTGAGACAGGAAAAAAAAAATTTTTTTGAGACATAGAGGGTCTCACAAAGTCACTAAGTGGCCCAGGCTGGGCTGGAACTTTTGGTCCTCCTGCCTTGAAAGGCGCAGCACCAGGAATCAAATGCAGATTTGTCTCCCCCAGAGCCTGTGTTTTTACCCCCTGCACCCCAAGGCCAGCCAGAAGGCAGGGCCCCTGGGCGGGGAGCCCAGGGAAGGCTTCCCCAGGAGCAGGCCCCAGCCAGGCCTCGGGCTGAGCCGGGAAGAGGGCGTGGCGAAGGCCGGGGCAAAAACCACCCAAAGGGGAGTCTCAGCAAGGGCCTTGCCCGGTGCAGGTTCACAGGAAGGCGGGGGTAGACTGGGGAGACTGTGGGGAAACCCAGGGTGACTAAGGCGCCCAGCAAGACCAAATGACTTGGGGACCAGCTGGAACACGAGACACATGCAGATAACCCCAGGAGACAGTGTGCTGGACGGCGGGACGAGAGGTACTGGGAAAGCTGCGGCAGACCTCCCGCCCCAGGCTTGCAGCCCATCTGCACCCTGACTTTCTAGGCAGCTGGGTACATGGAGAGGCCCTGGGTCCCTCACTTAGGTGCTGCCTGACCCTCCTTTCTCAGCCTTTCCAAGTCTCTGCTACAGGTGATCAGCATCCTTTGGCATCCTCCTAAACCACACATCCATTAACTGTGCTAAAAAGTGGCTTTGAGCTGGGCATGGTGGTGCACACCTGTAATCCCAGCAGTTGGGAGGCTAAGGCAGGGGGATTTTTGCGAGTTCAAGGCCATAGTGAAACCCTGTCTCAAAAAAGAAAAAAGGCGGCTTCTACCCTGTTGGTTAGGAAGTTTTCCAGTCATTAGCTTTTAAGACCAACTTTTGTTTCCAGCTCCGGGCCCAGGTTGTGCCCATTCAGCCTTGGCAGTGCTCAGACCTCTGCTCGCTCTTCTACAGGTATTTGTTTTTCATTTACAGTGCTGGAGATTGAGCTCAGGGTCTTCACACTAAGCTACACCCATAGCCCTTTCTTATTTTTTTGACTTGGCTGTGCTCAAACTTTTTTTTTTTTTTTTTTTTTTTTGAGACAGGGTCTCGCTATGCAGTTCAAGCTGGCCTTGAGCTCACTTTGTAGCCCAGGCTGTCCTCGAACTCGCAACTATCCTCCTACCTCAGCCTCCTGAGTACTGAGATTACAGGCGTGCCCCACCACACCTGGCTGGGCTCAAACTTTTGATCTTCCTGCCTCAGCCTCCCAGACGCTGAAATGGGGGGTGCACCACCACTCCTTCCCTGCTCCAAGATGTGGGCATGCCTGGGAAGGCTTTTAGCTCACGGGATGGTCACTGTGTCCTGGGGACTGTCCCCTTCCCCTCAGGGAGGGCCCTAAAGCAGGAGCTGGATCTGCAGGAGTGCAGGGATGGCAGGTGGCTCATTGCATGACAGCCTGCAGCTCTGAAGCTTCAGCTTTGGGCTGGGTGGGCAGACAGGGCTCCCTTTAGGGAATGCAGGTGATGGTAGGTTTTAAGTAGTAAAACTGTTAAAAAAAAAAAAGTAGTGTAGCAGTCTTGGAGGCTGAGAGGAGGATTGTAAGTCTGAGCCTAACCTGGGCGACCTATGATTTAGTGAGACCCTGTCTCAAAATTTTAAAAAGGGATAGCACTTGGGAGCTGAGGCAGGAGGACTGCTGTGAGTTTGAGACCAGCCTGAACTAGATAATGAGACCCTGTCTCAAAAAACCAAAAACAAAGTAAAATAAAATAATAAAAGGGGATAGTCCATGCAGTGGACTGGGGATGTAGTTCAGTTAGAGGCCCTAGGTGCAATCCCCAGTAATGGAAGAAAGAAAAGTGTTACTATTGTTAACTTCTTTCAGACACTACCTTAGCATTTCCTGAGTGTTAATTGGCAGAAACCGAATCTACATTGTATTTGCATTTATTTAGTAAGTCATTGTGTCCTCAGGCACTCATGTCAGTCACCATAGTGTTCCATGTTTCATGTTTCAAGGAGGCCGAAGAATCTGCTGCCACGAGAGTGGTCCAGGAGGCAGAGGAGGCTGTTAAGAAGCTCCGGGGTCCAGCGGGGTTCCTCAGGGCCGTGTTCAGTGAATGAGGGACCTAAGGCAGAGATGCTTCAAGGAGACAACAGGCTGGGGCCAGGATGTCACCTCATGACTGTGACTACACAGGCTTCCTCAGTTGCTTGTTTTTCCCACAACCACCTCTGTTCTCCTGCTTCCCCGAGACCACCCCAACAGTCCTCAGCAGGCCTCCTGTGTGCAGTAACTATGCAGATTCAGAGAGCAAACTGGTGACTGCCTGTCGGACTTTCCCTGCTGGAGTTCCCCTGCCTTCGTGATGATGGCAGAATGGCACAGTGACACAGGCGCAGCTGACTGGGAGGAGGGACGGCTCTGACTCAGCAGCAGATCTCCCCGGGCTCCGCGTGGAAGTGGCCCAGTGAAAGGGGGTGCGATGTGGATGTTTCCATAAGAGTCTGAGCCTGGGCTCCCCGCAAGTTCGGTCGTCTCAGCACAGTTCCCTGAGTCAGGGGAGGCCACCTGAGCTGCATCCTGGGGAGGATTCCCCTGGCAGTGCCTCGGAAGATGAAAGATGCCCAAGGAACAAGGATAGTCCCGGCCCCGAGCAGCGGTCCTGGGATACATGGCCTTGGCCAACAAGAGAGCTGGGGCATCTGAGATTAGTTGCCACAGGTGGAGTGCGAGAGCAGCAGAGTCAGCCAGCCTCACTTTCCCAGAAAAACTGTGAGTCTGAATTTTGCTGCGAAATCTTTGCTATCTCACCATTTGCAACCCATTAAATTAAAAAACTCAGGGCCAGACAAAATAAGACTTTGTACACCACCCTCTGTTCTACCTCCACCGTGACCCTGAACAGTAAGCAGCACCCATTTCTTAGTCAGACAGGTTGCCACCCGGCCTGGGCTCTCAAAGTGCTCCTTCCTGTGAAGTGAGGCAGGACACGAAGTGCCAGTGTCAGCGTGGGGTCACCAGCGAAGCCCCACCCCACAAGTTTCAGCATCACATCTCAGCTCTGCTGCCCACTCCCTTGGGCTGACACCAATCCTGGCCTGGTGCCTGCGGTGGCCGGGACAAGGGGCAGCTGGCAGCAGGTGAAGAGATGCCTTGCACTGGGCTGCCCAGGCCTTGCCATTGCAGGCACAGGCCAGGCTTGGCCACCATAAAGGCAGGCTCTCGCTTTGTCCCCTGCTCTGGGGATGCGGTAGAACCCTGTCCTTCTCCCCTAGAGAAGCAGTCAGCTGTGTTCCAGTGGCTTTCTGTCCTTGTAATTTAAAAGTACATCTGCGAAGAGTATGTATTTGCTTTGTATGTGTTGCAGCTGAGCTGACTGTGTTTTGACACACTAGTTCAAAATAAGGTTGACCCTTTGGAGAACTTGGTAACACAGTTGACTCAGCTTCAGCTCGAGGGGCTCCACTGGAAACAGCTGGGCGCACTCACATCACCACGCCTCCCGCCTGAATGGGACCTCGGGCCTGGCCGAGGAAGCTTTGGGGAGAACAGTGCTGCTTTAGACGCAAGAGCCAGAGAAGCAAAGTGCTAGCCCAGGAGGAAGGTTTTGCTTCAAAAATAGTTCCTTTGCTTAGCTTTTTAAATTTTTTTTGAAAATGAAGACACTAAAGGAACCAGGCATACATAAGACCATGCAAGAGGAAGAAACAGTTAAAAGAACTCACTGGAACTCTGAGAACAGCCTCAGACTGGCTGTGTATGAGAAAGTGAGGGGCTGAGTTTGTGTACTAGTACAGCACAGTTGTAGCTGTTTCATATTTTGCACCATTTCAGGGCCAGACGTGGTAGTGCAGGACTGTAACCCCAGCACTCCAGAGGCTGAGGCAGAAGGATCCGAGGCCAGCTTGGACTATACAATTGTAGTTCAAAGCCAGCCTGGACTACATAGTGAGACCCCATCTCAAAACAACAACAAAAATTTGCTACCATTCTCCTTACAACTGGGCTCCTGGTCCCTGGGCACTTTTCAGTGCCTCTCGTTTGGTAACTGGCAGGCCTCACTTTGTATAGTTGGTTTTACACCCGCACCCTGCTGCCTTCCACTTCAGGCTGCAGCCTCTGGAGGGCAACGCCAGCACTGCACACAGCTGGTCCCCAGGACCTCACGCTCCAGGTGTGGACAGCAAGTCAAGAACCCCTTTCATTTTAACGAAGTTGTGCCTGTTCAGCACTGTTTCGGGGGACTTAAAAGCCGCCGAGGGAGAAGGGAGATCCCCCCTGTATGCCAGATTAGTTCAGGTCAGTCCCTGGACAGCACACCTCTGGGAAGATGAATGTCATCTGTGAGGGGCCAGGTGATAGGACTCTCACCGTCGGGCGGTGGGAAAGTCCTGGTAACTAGTTAGAAGCAGCACCATGACTGAGGATGCCTTGTGGAGTGGTGAGGCCGACTGGGCTGAACGCATATTTGGCCCGTGCCATCCCCATGCCATCTTCATACTTGCAAGCTCCATGACTCTCTGACCCACCCCACCCTCAAGTAGCAGCGGGAATATCAAAGCCTCATTGTGGAGCTAATGATTACATTTCTGTTGACCCTCTCACAGATCTGGGTGGGGTGCAGGCAAGTATCTTTAGTTTCAGGCCTTGGTCAAAGCTAAATGTGACAGGTGGAATGGGTGGCCCCCCAGCAGGTTAAGGGGCTATCTAACCCTATGAAGCTAAGGTGCAGGATGAGGGCCTCAGAGTTAATACTGGTCCATGTGAGTGAGGCTTCTCTGAGGCAGAGTGGCTTAGTAAAGGACCACTGGCTTAACAAAAGCGGAAATCCCTGTCTCCTCTTTTTCTGCTAATGGGAGTTAATGTATGGAAAGGACTAAGGGGAGTGCCAGGCTCAGAAATCCTACTCACTAATATGTTAACCACTGAGTCATGCTCTGGTTTGAATACAGTTTGCCTCATGTTAAAATGTGGTCTCCAGAGTAACAGCATGGAGAGGTGTTGGGAACATTAACAGGTGATTAGACTGCTAAGAGGGATTAATGCAGTTCTCGTGGGACTGGGTTAGTTACAGCAAGAACAGGCTGTTACACAGCAAGGCTGCCCCTTTCTTTTGCTCCTTCATCCACCTCTTTGCTTTTCTGCTTTCCGCCATGTTATGACACAGTGTGAGGCCTATATAGAGCTGCCTGATCTTGGACTTTAGCCTTTGGAACCACAGTTTAATAAAATTTCCTTTATAAATTTCCCAGTTTAGGTATTCTATTAGAGGAACAGAAAATTCACTAAGACAAGGCAGTTTCTCACAGTGCTTAGGAGATGCCTCTGGAGACAGCTTGTCTGGATTCACCGCATTGTCTCCAAATCCCTGGGCACTTTCTCATTTCATTTACCTCATCTGGCCAGAGATGATGGGTCACAGGGGTAATCTGGCCACAGGTTTAATGGTGCAGTTGTAGAGACTCAGGGTAGACCAGTACCTGTGTTTGTAAGAGCCACATGGACCCACTAAGGCTATTTTTACCCCCTTCGCTGCTTGCGGGGTTTAGTTTCATGGAGCTCATGTCTGGAGGGGGAAGCAGTCATCCATTGTGGCAGGCAGAGGTTGGGCCCACAGTGACTGGAAGCATAGAAGGGTCTGTTTGGAGGCAGAGGTCATGGGAAGCAGGGTCACGTCAGAGTCAAGCAGACAAGAGGAGGCTGAGACTTTCTGACTGCAACACCTCAAGCAAGGCACTTGACCTCTCTGAGCCATGCCCCTCTGAGAACTGATAAACCTACACTGCAGATCTGTGGAGCAGATGACAGGAGATAAGATCACATATGCAAGCACGCCTGGCATGCACAGGCACTTGGCATGTGCTTGGCTCCCTGTTCTTCACAGCAAAGGCCCCAAAGAAACCCACCAGCCAGTGACTGCATTGAGCCCAGTGCACACACACTGGCAGAGCTGCCTCAGCTGACCATGTATGGGATTCTCTTACAGCTTTTCTAGTGTTTTCTTTTTTTTTTTTTTTTGGTACTGGGAATCGAACTCATGACCTTGCACTTGCCAGGCAGGCATTGTGCTGCTGAGCTATATCCCCAGCCCTCTAGTGTTTTCCTTTATTGCTCCCTCCTAGATTATTTTTTCTGCTTTGGTGCTAGAGATCCAACCCAGTGGCTGGGAAAATGCTCTACCACTGAGCTACACCCCTGGGCCCTCATGGATGTTTAAGCAGCTCTGTGCTCTGACTCCCCCAGGTAATTCCATTTTCTTTGTCTTTCCACAGCACCTGGACAGTGTTCTCCTGGCATGCAGGTTTGGCACTGTCATAATTTCTGAGCCTCCAAGTTCCCCTGAGTCCAGCAGTTCCTGCCCAGGGTGTGCCCCGGTGTGCTGAGTGGGGAGGCCTTTGCTGAGGGGAGCTGTGTGCACAACACAGCTAGAGTGACCTTGTCCTGGGAGCTGTCTCCCCTCAACAGGACACGAAGTGGAATAAAGACCTAAACTGCATCATAAAATGGGGCCAGGAAAAGACAGGCGAGGAGCTGAGTGGGAGCCATAGGCAGGTCAGGGTAGGGGCCTCGGTAAACAGAAATGTTAAACAAGGGCTCCTCCCTGCACCACTCTAAACCTCATAGTGTGCAAAGTTTGGCTCCAGAGACCTCCCAGTGACCCCAATCTAATTCTCTCAACTGTCCCGCAATGGCTGAGGCAGGAAGATAAGCGGCCTCCTTGAACCAGCACCTTCGAAATCCCATCAGCCCCTCTGTGGGTACAGCTGAGCCCTGAGCAGGCTGGGTGAGGGTGGGGTGTGCACAGGAGGGAGGGGTGGAGCAGATAAGAGCCTTTGGGCCAAGGCCTGCACACCTGGGATTCTAGGAAGGTGGTGCAGCCAGGTCTCCAGGCTCAGATGACCTGGGCTCCAGTGGAAACCAACTGGAATTATAATTAGGATAAAATCCAGAGCTAAAGAAGCAACAGGACAAAGAAACTAATCACCAGGGTGCAGAAGGAGGGCCCCATCTCAGTGCTGCCTCCTGGCCAGCCTGTCCCCTCTTGTCTGCCTTTCCCTGGTCTCACCTGCAGTCCGCAGTCTCCAGCACCCAAGTGTGTAACATTCCCTCCCGCTGTCAGCTCCACTTCTCCTCATAGTCCTTTTGTCCGCTTTCCTTCCTGTCCCTTGGTTCTTCAGCTCACAGTCCCCCGTTACCCTGCTGTTCTCTGCATTCCCCTTGCCTTTGTTCCCCACCTCTAAGCAGGCTGGGAGTGGTGAACCCAGGATGGTTGCCTAGCAATGAGGAAAGTAGGACAAACACCCACCAGCAGCCAGGGAGAAAGAGAGGGACCCAGGGAGGAGGAACTGGGGTCCCACTGGCTCCCTCACTACCAACATGAGCTGGGCTCCTGTCCTGGGAAAAGTTCCAGAGCTTTGTCACCCAGCCCTGACTCAGGCCATTCTTCTCAGCAGCCCCACAGGCATTTCCCTTTTCCAAATGACCAGCCCATCCTGAGCCCCCAACAAGGCCAGGGCTGAGGAGGGGGCGCCTCATCAGGCATAGCTCTTCACTGCTTGTGAGCCAGGAAGTGAGACCTGGGACTCATCATACCCAGAGGAGGAGGAGGAGCCAGCCCTGCTCTGTGGGGGTGGCAGGGGGAGAGGGAAGTACACGGAATGGGCCTGTGACCACTAGGCCTGGGATTTAGGGAGCTGCAGGGAGGTCTAGAGGCTTTAGACCCAGGACTCAGACTGGATTCTTTTCTCTTAGGCAATGGATACTTGGTATGCAGGGATGGCTCTTCTGGTGGGGAGGGAAAGAGACTCAGGGCTTGGAACCAAGTCATGGCAATGGAGACAGTGTGGCTCAAGACCTGGGACCAGAAGGAAAAGTCCATGTGTACAGACGGCCTTTGGGCCTGGTGGGCTGGATGCTCCATCCAGTGCAAGGGTCAGGTGCTGAGTCTAATGCCTTTGTCCTTCTCAGGGAAACCATAGCATCTGTGGCTGAAACATCCAAGGCAGAGGCCCCAAGGTGGGATGTACTGCCTTCTGCCATCCCCCTACAGGCCCAAGAACTCTGATGAGTACAGCATGGCTGGAGGGCGACATCTGGCAGTGTTCTCTGTAACCTGGTTGACCTCCTTTGCTGGGCTTCAGTAGATTCAGGCAATAGTTGATTATGAAAGATAAGCAGAGACCAAAGCCCCAGAGAGTTGTGACCAGGCCCTTTCCTTTCCCTGAAGTGGCCTCATTTTGCACCATCTGGAGTCCAAGGTCAGTCCAGCTTTGCAAAGCCCATCGCTCACATGCAGACACAAAATTCAGACCAGGCTGCAATCTTAACTCGGGTTGATGTCTAGCACATACTTAAATGTTCATTCAGAATCCTTAACATGATAGCTACACCTCTCCCATTCTCCTTAGAAATGCCAGAATGCTGGCTTCTTCAAAGGCTCTCCATGGCTCTGTCAAGCTGGGGCTTCCAACAGCCTCTCCGGTTCTCAGAATGAAAGCACTCAATACCCATCCAAGGCGTCACAGAACTGGTAATTAATAGTGCCTTCTGGAGTTGGTAAACGTATTTGGTATCCATTTCTTTTGTGCTATGGCGCCATTCCAGCTGCCCCCCTTAGAGTAGGAGGCAGAGGGGAGATGGTATCCATGCACTCCCTGCTTGCAGACCCTCTTTGCAAGGAGACTCTAAGCCCACCACTCCCTAAGACCTGCCTTCGCAGGCTGGGCACAGTGTGCAAGGAAGGACTCAGAATCTCGACCTACTATGCAGAATCAGGTGGGCCTGCAGCAGAGAGCTGTTTTCCCTCCCTCCCTCTCAGAATTATGCCTTTGGGAGATGGAGTCTGAATAATGTTTAGTATGGAAGATGGTATCTGCATTTGGGGGAAGCATGTTGAACAAAAGATCCAATGAGGTTAAGGTGCCCCCTGTGAAGCCCCCTTCCTGTTACCCTCCCTTGAGGTAGACCATTACTGTCCTCTACCACTGAGACTGCAGACTGATTAAGTGCCTCACCCAGTGACTGGAAACCTCTGCTACTGGTCTATATAACTCAAGGGCCTGGCCTTCATTGTGTTCCCTCATCTTCATGTCTGAGGTCTCTGTACACTGATTAGCGACCAAGATGAAACCCAGTGCAGTAGCCATCAGGCCCAGCACACATTCCCTGAGCTCACGGCCAAGGGGAGTGTCACCCCCGCTCCCCTTTTTCCTTCTCTGGAAGAGAACTGATTCTGGCCTTTTTCTGCCTGGCTGGCGATGCCTTCCTACACAGATTTCCCCTCTTACAGAGGTGTAGTACAGTGGGTCACCCAGTGTCTTCAGACCATGAGCACCTGGGAGCTTGCTAGAACTACAAATTCTCTGGCTCCAGCCCAGAGCTACTAACTCAGAAATGCTGGAGGTGTGACCAAGCTACCTGTATTTTAACAAGCCCTCCAAGGGACTCTGATGCATGCTCAAGTTTGAGAACAGCTGGGATAGTATGTTACCTAAGAGCCCCAAGTAGGAAGCCACATTTAGTTTCTGATCCATACACAGCGAACAGGTCCAGGGGTACGTGCTTTGCAGCTATAGAGCATCTTCCCAAGGGTGGCATGCCACCGACCTCCCACACTCCAGCTGTAACCAAGCATATGACCCCCAAGCCTAGACTTGAAATCCACCAGTGGCTCTTCCTAAGCTCTTCTCTTCTAGGAGGTGCAGCAGAAATTCAGATGGCTCTAGGCATTGTCATGGCAACTGGGCCTTTCGGAGTCTGTGGGGCACCAGGAGCAGGGAGGAAGCAGTGTAGAAGTCTGCCAGTGGATGAAGCACAACCAGATGAGGTGGCTGTGAAAACAGATGGAAGCTCAGGATGGCTGTTACTGATGCATCTGGATCCTCTCCAGGGGTCTTCAGAGCCATAAACCAGCAACAACCCAGTCGTCCAGGACAGCAGGATTTCCCCAGGGGCTTGGGGATGCAGACAATGCATACTTCCCAAAAGATTTTCTACCTAGGTTAAACCGGGGCCCTAAATAGCCACAGCGGTTAAGAAGAAGGTGCATGCGATAGTATGACCACCTGTTTCAGGTCAGGACTCAGGAAAGGGACTCAAGTTTCAAACTTTTGATTGGATCTTGCTCTGAAAGCAGATCTCAAGTCATCAGGCCCCCTGGAGTAATATGTGACAGTGGCTATGTTAGCTCTAAAAGAAATAAATGGTCAACAAGAATTTATACACCAAAGGCATGTACCATGTCCTGAATGCTGGCATCAGTCACCCCTGTGGCCCTCTCCATTCCTCCATTGATACCCTCCAGGTGCTGGTCAGCGTCAGTGGCCTCTCTTCTGGGGGACACATTTCACCCCAGAGACAGGCAGAGAGCAAGGGAGCATGCTAGACCGTCACTGGCCCTGCAGCCAGGGGAGCCCCCACATGCACAGTGGCCACTCAGGGCCCAGGGGATATTGCCTGTGTGCCATGCACACCTAGCTGCTCCAAGCACTTGGCTGCTTTGGAAACCAAAGAGCTGTTGGTGCTTTTTGTTCTGGAAGAAGGAAGTAGCTTATGTGAGAATAAGAGACAATTCTGCCTTGTTCTCAAGGAAAGGTTACAAAGTGTGAGGAGTCAGAATGTGTGTGTGGGGGGGAAGCAGTCACCCAACAGTGTCATCTAAGACGCATGCGCTACCTAACCTCACCTAAGTCCCCCAGGTGGGCACTGAGAGCCCCCAGAACTTTCCAGATGGTGGTTGTGCTTACCCTTGTACTCCCTGGCACTCCAGCCAAGCTATGATCTCTCTTCCCATGCGCGTGGGATCCTTTCCCACAGCTTCTTTAGTTTGCCCAAGCCCCCGCTGGCTCTCCAGGTACTCAGCTCCTCCTCTCTGCCTGTGGACGAGGCCGGGCGTTTACCAGAGGCTCCTTGGAACTGCCCTTCCCACAGCAGAACAGAGGTTGGCTGTTGTGAACATCTTTTCTTGCCCTCACAGAGCTGCAGCAACCCAGATCCACCTTCTCACTCAGGTCCTAGGACTCAGGTATTCCACAACTGCAGCCTTGACCTCCCTCAGATATGGGGTAACCAAGAAGGGACAGGCTGACAAGGCTGTAACATCCGCCTTCTGTGCTGCCCTGTCTGCTCCTTTTCCAGGGCACCAGGGACTCTTTATCTCTGCGAGGCCCCATGTGGAGCTCAGTGGCCCTGCACACCTCAGAGGGGAAGGTCTGCAGCGGTGCGTGGAGGGTGTGGGAGAGCCAGCGGCAGGGCTTCTCACTTCATTCCTGTCGCTGCCCTTTATAAATATTTATAGCAGCTCTTCGACTAAAAACAACATCCCGGAGCCCAGGGAACAGAAAAAAATAAATGAAAATCTCACGGGGATTTGGACTTGATCATGTGTGCCCCAGTCGCAGGAACCCCAAGGACCCAGGCTGCTACAGAGCAGCACTCAGGGGAGCCCCCTAGTGCCCCGCCCCTCCTCCCAGCACAGCCGGAAGCTTCACCAGTTGAGGGAAAGGAAGGAGGCTATTTTTAGCATGGTGGCGGTGGAGAGGGTGTGAATGACTGTAGAAGTGAGGAGGCCTGCAGCTTTCTTTGCATAAACGGAAGAAGACCTGTTGGTTTTTAAAGGTCAAAGGTAAGGAGGAAACATGTGTCCCTGAGCTAGGCAGCGTGCCACGCTCTGGCCAGACGCCAGGAGACCCACCCGTCAGGTCACAGACACACAGGGTTTAGCGCTTTTTCTTTTCTTTCAACCTGGTTAAATTCCTGATTTGGAGATGAAACCATGCCCCGAGGGGAGTAACGAAGATGCTAGGACATGCAGGGGGAGGCAGGGGAAGACCCCACCACGGCTCCCTTCCAGGCAGTCCCTCCCGCTCACTGGCTCCCTGGCTCCCTGGCAGTGGAGTGAGGTCTAGCAGCCTGCAAGCCAGTCCAGGTGTGCAGCTGAGAGATGACTGGGAATGTGCCTCTGGGGGAAGACGCCGCCTTCATCGTGTTGGTGCCAGCTTGCTCCACATCCTCTGTGCCTGTACAAGACAGCTCAGCGTTAGTCACGGCAGTGCCCTGGGCTCCAGGCACTGCTGACAGCTGCTGTGAGCCTCCATCTGCGATCTGGATCTACAAGGAGGGGCTGCTGGAGACTCAGCCTTCTCTAGGGTGGCTTGAGGGGCGGGCCATCTCCCTTCTGATGGGCCTGGGGTCTTCTGCAGTCATGGCTTATGTCACAGATCAGGAAGTATTTCCACAGAAAAGCCAACTGGGTTTGCAATGCCAGGCTTGGAATGTGGTGAGAACTGTGGCACAGCTAGGCAAAGAGGCTGCAAAAGTGCCCAAAAACACCAGGAGGAAAGGAGGAAGCCCCAGCAGAGACCAGGCCTGCAGCGCTCAGAGCCCAGACTTCACAAGCTGCTTTTCATCTCACTCTGCTGTTGGTTTCTCCCAACTCCTGATGTGGGTCAAAGAGAGCGGGAGTCAGAAGCAGATGGCCAGCTGTGTGCCCAGAGGAGATGGGCCACATGGTGCTAACACCTCCCCCGTCAGTCCCTCTGCCCTGGGGAGGGGCTCTGGCAGCCTTTTGTGGCAGTCTCTGTGGGCCTGTGCGTGCTCTGCCAGGGTAGGGAGAAGGTGTGCCCCATGCCCCTAAGGCTCATGAGAACACCTGCTGTTTGGGCACTGCCCATGAAGCATGAGCTTTCTGACCAAGTGTGCAGGCAGAGACTGCTGGGGGGCACAGCAGTCAGAGGGAAGGGCTGAAATGGTTGGAAAGGGCCTGAGGCAATTCTGGCAGTTGGGGGTTGGGGAGCTACTTGGAAAGGACTATTGGGCTATGGCCCTGGCTTTTCTGTCCTGAAAATGCCTTTTAAAAATAAGGGTGGTGGCTTGGGGCTGTAGCTCTGTGGTACAAGCACCTGCCTGGCAAGCGCAACGTCCTGAGTTCAATTCTTGATACCAAAAAAAAAAAAAAATTTAGAAAATAAGTAAATTATTTTGCTGGCTGTGGCAGGAGGATCATCGGGAGTTTGGGACCAGCCTGGGCTACAAAGTGAGCTCAAGGCCAGCCTGAACCACAGAGGAAGACCCTGTCTCAAAAAGACAAAAAAACGGTGGGGGACATGGTGGCACATGCCTGTAATCCTAGCACTCAGGAGGCGGAGGCAGGAGGGCTACTGCGAGTTCAAGGCCAGGCAGAACTACACAGTGACACCCTGTCTTACAAAAAAGGGTTGGGGGAGGACAGAAATGATCTAAAAAGGAAAAGCAGTCTCCAGACTACTTGAGAGGCCTTTGCCCCAGAACAGGTTGGCTGTCCCTTACTTTCTTGTTTTTTGAGACAGGGTCTTGCTCTATGGTTCAGGCTGGACTTAACTATGTAACCCAGGCTGGCCTCAAACATGAGTGATCCTCCTGCCTCAGCCTCCTGAGTACTGAGATTATAGGCTGTCCCTCACTTCTGTCCCTTACTTTATTCTTTTGGTTTTTTGAGACAGGGTTTCATTTTGTAGTTCAGGCTCGCCCTGACCTCTATGTAATCCAGGCTGGCCTCAAACTCATTATGATTCTCCTGCCTCGGCTTCCCGAATGATGTACCACCACCCCCAGTTTGTCCCCTCCTTTTAGACAGTAAATCCAGAAGCTGTACTGTTTTAGAGCAGAGTGAGTTGAGGTCTTGAGATAGAAAAGAAAGAACATTCCTCAAGGCAGTATTTGCCTATGGGGACAGCCGTTTTGTGGGGAAGGGAGAAGGTGCAGCTCAGCTGGGCCCATGGGAAGCTGGTCTGTCTGCTTTGTAGTCAGCATGATCTCACATGGCTCCAGTATGTATGTGTCTGTGGGTCCAGGCCACAGTGGTTGACAGCTCAGAGTGACAGGATCCCACGGGCATTTTGGCTGTGGTGTGGTCAGTAGCTGTGAGAAACAGGAGCACCAGAAGAAGAGGTGGCACAGAAAGGTGGCTGCTCTCCGCTAGCCTTCTATTACCTGCTTGGCCAGCCTGCGGCAGCCAGTGTGTCAGTGACCAGGATGGGCTGCGGGCCATGAATGTGCTGCTCATGCAAGGCCACAGCCTACAGCAAGGTGGAGCAGGCTCACTGGCAGGACGGGGGGCAGGCAAAGATACAGGTGGGCTTTTTCAGGAAAATCCTAATTGTAGCTCGGCCTGGTAGGACTGCTGTGGGTTAGACCTCTCACCCAAGAGATGGGCAAATGAAGATACTAAACAAGAAGGACAGGGGCTGTGGGACGGCAGAGGCCATACCCTGTACTTACCTGAGTTCCTGTGTGCTGGGGCTCATCTGTTAACCTGTGGCAGCAGGGGCAGAAATGACACTGAGGTCACAGGCAGGCTCTTCTCACTCCCTGGGTCTTCTGCAGGGGCTTTCCAGGACCCCCGCCCCAGCCCAGGGGTTTCTGGACTCCCTCTCTCCTTTGACGACTTTCCCTGACCAGTTATGATTTTTTACAACCAGCAACTGCACCTAACGTAAGGCATCAATGAGACAAACCTTTTGTAGAAGACAATAAATATGGAAACAAAGCTACCTTAAAAGGGGCTGGGGGAGTAGTACGTACATCTGGTTCTGAAAGCAAGCTGTCTGACTGGGTAGGGCTTTCCTCCTGCGTACTCCTGCTCACGCTGGGAGGGCAAACAGGGCCTGGGCCTCAGAGCTTGTACCTGTCCTCCAAGGGCCACTGCTGTCCAGACCCTGTGGACAATGTGCCAGGGCTCCCTCAGTGTGCAAACTGGACTGATGGCTCCCAACCCCAGGAAGGCAGTTCTGGGAGGCAGGAGCATAAAACAGCTCTGGGGTAGCTGAGGCAGTATGGGGGAAGGAACCTAGTTTGTGCCTCCGCTGTGTAGTCTCGATACACTTGGGGTGGAGGTGGCAGGGGAATGCACAGTAGGAAGAGTACCCAGTGGGTCAGAGCACTCTCTAGAGTAGAACCAGACAGAGCCAGGGTGGAAGAGGCAGAGGCATGAGCTAGGAGTGAATACAGATCTGGCTCTCACGGCTTTTGTATCAAGCAGACTGTGTGCGGACAGGTGCTCATCAAGTTGTGCTTATATTATGTCAGCACAATTCAACCCACAGAAAGCAAACATTCTCCCCTTCTCTGCTCTTTATGGTTGGTAGTTACTGATCTCAGGTGACCCAGGTGACTGCAATTAGTGCTTTGTCAGTCCACAGTAAACTCAGGTCTAGATGGTGGCAGAGAATCAAGAGGCTACCACATGCTCTTGTGGTGATATCCACATAAGGGCTACTTTATAGTTCCTAGGATCAATACAATGTTGAGATCTGACAATCAGACATTTAAAACAATCCTGCCCACCTCTCACCCCAATTCTAACACTCTTGCTCTCAGAGATGACACCTAAAAGCCACAGAAACAGAAGTTCAGGCATTCTCAGAAAGGTTTCACACATACAGGAACTCTGCTATGTACACTGAAAGAGAGATAACTAAGAGCAAGCAGCACAGAAAAAGAGAAGAGACACTGTCAGGGAAACTAAAGTCAAAGACTTTTAGAAAGCTCCTTGGCCAGGAGGTTTCTGCCAAGGGATGCCATTCCAGTTCTTTAGGGAGATGAGGCCTACATTCCAACTTGAGCCAGGACTCACAGCTGGTGTCTGCGGGCAGGGCAGGGCCTCACTAACTGCGGCAGGGCCCTTGGCTTCCTTTTGGGGACACGCAGGAAAGTGGAGGAGAGAGGCCTGAGAAAAGCTCCTCGAGTAGGGAGGGTATAGGGAAAGTGAGGCCAAGGCAGTAGTGGTAACATCTTCAGCTGAGAACACTCATGGGGTTTGGTTGCAATGTGCATGTGGGAGTGTGTTTGGGGCCTGTGTTACATAGGGGAATTTAGTTGTCTCCCACCTTCCTCTCTTTCCTGCCATCGGGAGAGGGGCATCTTCTCTGCATTCTAGTTGTCTACCTGCTGCCCTGCTCCTGTCTGTCTGCCATGGCCCAATGTGCCATTTGCACAGCCTCACACAGCCACTGTCCTGCTTCTCCGAGGCCTCACTCTGATTAATGAGATGGCTTCAGCACTGGCAGGATGTTTCTCCTCTTCCCCGAGTTGCCTCCTTGGCAATTTCAGTACCCTTGCTGACAAATTCTTTGCCCCTAAGCCTCCGAAGACCTCCCTCTTTCACGCACACCAGACTTCATCTTTTTTTTTTTTTGTCTTTTTGAGAAGGGTCTCACTATGCAGTTCAGGCTGGCCTTGAGCTCACTTTGTAGCCCAGGCTGGTCCTGAACTCACAATGATCCTCCTGCCTCAAGGGCACACCACACTCCAGAACCACCATGCCAGGGCTGCCCTCCTACCAAGCTTCTTGCTTGTATCTCCTACCTGACTGCTTTCCACCCTGCCTGAGATTCTTTCCTTCACTTAGGAAAGAACCTCATATTCTGCTTGACTACAGCATAGGGGTTGGAGTTGGAAAGTCCCAGAGAATCCAGGCTCTGCTTAGGACCCATACAGTGATCTCACCCCAAGCCCTGCCTACATGCCTCTCACGGGTCTGTGAAGCCAGAGAAAGCTTGGAAGTCGGTGTGGCCACTCATCTCTCTCCCTCTCCTGCCTTTACCTCTTAGGCTGACTGGCCGCTCCACCCATGCCTCTCCCCTGTCCTATCACCCTGTTGATTTCCTTGGATGGTTCAGTCACTGAGATCCTACTAAGTGCCAGACACTGTTCTAGGCACAGGGAAAAACCAACAAAACAGACTAAAATCTGCCTTGAGGGGCCTATGTTCTGTAGGAATTTACCAACAGGTATATTAATGATAGAAATAATAGCTAATTTCCTCCTGTCCCAAGAGAATTCTGTTACCTGTTCAGTATAAGTTTGAAGGACCAAGATTAAGGGCATAAAGTTTGGAGTCAGAAAGACCCAGTGCCTGCCTGACAATCATGAGGTCATGAGTTTGATTTCTGGGGCCAAAAAAAAAAAAAAAAAAAAATACCCAGTTCAAGCCCAGTTGGGGCTATTTAATAGCGACATTTGGGGAATCTCTCAGAGTCTATCCCCTCAGTGCGGAAAGGGCTGTATGTGTTTTACAGTACGCATACAAGTTAAATGAGATTATGTAAGGGAACCATTTACCACAGGTCTTCCACATACGAAATAGGTTTTATGTATAATAAAACTAGAAAAGCATTACTAGCCTTTGCTGACAGCTTTCATTCTTGCTTCTAGTCTTCCAGAAAGTCACAAAACCATTTGGTTATTGCAACCTACACTAATGCTAAACACATGCTTTCTTCCTTTTCAGAAACCTTTATTATAATTCAGTTTTATGATTAACTTTTTCTGTTGCTTCATTTTATCTCCCATTGATTTTGCATATCTAGTCTTGCTTTCCTAATTAGATTACAAGTTCCTTGAGGCAAGAGATCATGTTTTGTGTTTTGCTTGTGTCTACTTCCTGTATCCCAACCACCTACCCCCAGACAAGGAAGCTTGTATGGATCATTACGTGTACGTAAAACTAAACTGTCAGCTAGGAAAGCAGGCAGAAATACTCAAGGAGCTGAAGGCTTTGGGAAAGGTGAACCACGGGAGGAAGGAGGGGAAGAGAGGAGCATGATGTCCATGGGCTCTAGAGCTGAGGCTCCCCATTTACACTAGGGTCCTGCTGGGCTGCCTTTACCTCTGTCTTTCCCATTCTGCATCTTCTCTTCTTCTTCCTCTGCACATTCCTCTGCTGTGAAAACAAGTTCAAGGAGGCCAGTGACCCTTTGGCACAGCACAGGCATTGAAGAAGGGTGCGTGGGTTAACTCAGGAGGTTTGGGATGGAGCTCTGGCTAATGGCTCAAGATTTCAGGCCTCCATAGGCCCCAAACTTGCCTTCTCTACTCCTTCTGAGCTCCATACCCCAGCACTGTTTAATAGGAGCCTATAAGAAGCCGAGCAGCCTGATGTCACCCACCCTGCTGTTTGCCATGCTGCTGACTTCACCGGTGACTACAGCGGGCATAAGGGAGCGCCTGTTTTCCCTGGGATGATGACATCTACTAAGGATAGATACAAGGTATATCCCTGGGAGATAGCTGTATGTTGGGGAGGGAAGGATACACCTTATGTCTTGCATTCAGGTTCAAGAAAGATGCACATGGAGGAATGCCTAGATTAATAATGACTTCTAGGGGAAAAAAAGAAGAAAAAAGGAAGTTTTAATTGACCACAAACTTAAAATGACTACACAATGCAAAGTGGCTCTGTAGACCAAAGCTAGTGCTGGCTAAGGCTGCTATCCAGGGCCCCACTAAAAGGCAGTTACAGATCCCCTCTGCTGTACAGGACAAGCCCCTCTGTGATATGGAGCAGTGTATTCAGACCAGGGTATTCACTTTAACTGGGGCCTTAGAAATCTGGGCCACATCTGGTGTGGTCAAACAGGATGGTAAAGTGAAAATCATGTCGTTCAGGGTGACTAAGGGACTGAGGAGTGTCATCTTAAGAGAAGATGGGGGAAGTACCATGTTATCTGCCATCAAACACTTGAAAGGTGACCTGCAAAGGAGGGACTGAACTGACTGTGGAGTTTTAGATGGGCAGAAAAGATGAATCATCTATGAGAAGGCAGATTTTGGCTCCCAAATATGGAAGAACTTTCCAGTGGTTACAGCTGGTCATGAATGAGCTCACTGGAAATATTAAAGCAGACCCCCCGACCCCAGTATTGGGGATTAGACTCATGGCCTCATGCATGCTTCGCAAGTGCTTGACCACTGAGCTATACCCCTAGCCATTTTTATTTTTGTAATTTTTGAGACAGGGTCTTGCTAAGTTTAAAGTTGTCCAGGCTGGCCTTAAACTTTTGATTCTCCCGCCTTAGCCTCCTAAGTAGCTGGGATTACAGACATGCACCAGCACACCCAGCTTTTCAGAGGGTGACAAGTTGGATTAAATGTCCTCTAAAACCCTTTGAACTCTATCAACCCATTATTTGTTTGTTTGTTTGTTTATTTATTTTCTGAAACAGGGTCTTGCTATGTTCAGGCTGACCTTGAACTTTAGGCAGTGCAGGCTGGCCTCAAACTTGTGGCAATCCTCCTGCCTCAGCCTCTCAACTGCTGGTATTACAGGTGTGTGTTGGCACACCCAGCCTGATCCCATTATTTATAAAAGTATTTTTTAAATGATGAAAAAGACAGGTTATGGAGATATGTCAGATGTACACACTACAGAGTTAAAGAAAAGCTCCTCGAGTCTGAATATCTGTTCTCATCCTAACAAAACCTTGTGAAACTGACCAAGGAGATGGTAAACATGTGCTGGTGCTGGGCAAGGCTCTTCTATTCACTGAGAACTGGGAACCTTCACATGTATATAGAATTTATTTTTTGTAGGGATGCGGGAGTGCATATGGTTTAGCCTACATCTACCACAGGCTTCAGTGCTCAGGAGTGAAGCATGTCAAGGAGAACAGGCCTCACAGAATCCTGGGTCTGACTTCCTGTCATGGGTAGGTCAGGAGCACTGGCTCATGTTCTGATGACCTAAGTTCTAGGGGACAGCTATGTCCCCCAAAGTGGCACGACCCCAGGCAGACCACTTTTCTGATAATCATGGATCATACTTATGTCACAAGACGATTGAACAGCAGATGTCTAAGATGCCCTCCAGGTGACACTATATAATTTTGTTAAAACCGCCCTTCCTACTCTGAGAGCTTGTTCAGTATCCCTATAAATGCTTAAATTTTTGAAGCTATTTAGTTTCCACATGCTTTCTATTTACTGATTTACCATTACTAGCACTTACATCATACTTGCATCTTAGTTCGAGGAGCTTAGAAGCCACCGATTTTGCATAAATGGTAACAAGTGGCCTTGAGGCACAAGTGTAGTTCATCTCTAAGCCTAAAATCCCCTGGGAAATTCCCTTGAAGAGCGGGATTTCCAGCCTCTGAGGGAGACAGATCAGGGAGAAAACCTAATCAACTGTGAGGTCTTCTCTGAAGGCCATTACTCTGTGTGTGTGTGTGTGTGTGTGTGTGTGTAAGTGTAAGGGGGGCTGTGCTTCTGTGGGACTAAGAGACAGGATCAGATGGGGAGAGGGGCATCATAAAGCTGCTGAAGCAAGAGAATCTACATTTGACCTGCTTTGGAAAGACCAGCCAGACCACATGCATGTTCTCTTTTGAAGGAGAACAGGACTCCGAGCAGAGGTGTGTGCTAGACCTTGTTTTGGTCCCATAAAAACTCTAACAGTGATATGTTCCCCTACTGAAAAACACCGGGGTCATCTTCTCTAAAGTATCTGAATAGGACAAGGAGAAACTGCTCTGTATTTTTAATAACCCCAAGAAGCTACCACAAGGCACTCACAAACACTGTGTTAGGTAAAAAGGGGACAGAAGAGACCCCTCAGTGTGAGGGATGTGCTGCAATTGGGAAGGGAGCTCACTTGGGTAACATGTCACACGGGAATCCCAGCACTGGAAACAACGTGCAAGAATCACATGTTCTACCACTGACGGAGTCATGGGGACACTTGGAGGTATGATGATATGTGAAAGGCTTTTTTATTTTCTCTTTCCTGGGTTTTACATGAGCAGAAAATGCTACAGGGCAGAGGTCTCTGGGAAGTCACTGCAGTGGCTGAGAGATGGAGACAGATAAGACTGGATGTGAGGAGTAAAGGAAGCAGGAGGTCGCCAAGTTCAGATGAAATCAGAGCCTGGTTATAGACAAAAGGAGAGGGGATAGGGTTTCAAAACCAAATCAACAGGAGAAAGCAGACAGACAGCTGGGGAAGCCCAGCACTGGAGGCTGACATAGTGGCTGACATCCAGGAAAGCTTCCGAATGGGATGGTGGTCAGGCCTGGGGAAAGAGCTGCTGTGGACAAAGTGTAGGCAGGAGATGAGGGGGTCAGGTTGAGGCCTGGCTGCACTGAAGATCTGAATTTCTTTAAATTCAGAACTGTGTTTCTTCCACCAGATGGATCTGCAGGATAAACCTAAATGTGTAACTGCCCCTCTGTGATCACATATGAGAGGAAGGCACACTTGGTGGAGGGTCCACCTGCTCCTAGGAGGCAAAACCAAATGGTAAAATGAGAGGTCATGGGCCAGACAGTGATGTGCCACCAGGGCGGGTACAAGGGGAGATGGGAGGCTGGTGGGGAGCTCTGAGCATCACCTGAATGGAGCTCCTTCACCAGGGATGACATGGTGTTGGTGATGGAGTCAGCGGCCACCAGCAGGTCATTGTGGAGGTTTCTCCTCGTACCTGAAGGGAGTCAGAGCAGATGGCGATGCAGGATGGGGCATGGAGAAAAAAGAGCCCAGCAGATGCCTCAGTCCGCCAAGCCTTTGGGCACAGATGCAGGACAGCTAAGGGAGATGGGGCTGTGGCAGCTCCACCTATTCCCCCACACCAGGAGACCATTCCCACGCCCTCTGTCTTCTCCACCTGGATAGCATAGCCTGTCAAGTCCATGCTTTGTAGCCAACATACAATATAAAAAAAGTTGGGTTCTAGAATAAGCCTTCCACCAAGGTGTTCTCACCCTTAAGGGGCTTTATCCTCCAACATCATCACCTCCCACTTTCTTGTCCCCAGCCCCCTCAGGGCATCCTCCCCAACTCAATGTTGTGGCTCCCTAGCTCTTTGGATGGCTGTGGCAATTCTGTGCTTAGGGGACCTTTAGCTAGGTCCTATTTAGAGAACCAGTCTTCCTGCTTTTGCTTGTTCTAAGGACCTTCTAGGCCCAGGATGTGATTTTAGATTACTGCACCCAATTCCTCTGGAGATAGCAAAGCCCAAGTTGGGAAAGAGGGCAAGGCGCTTCCCTCCACCTAGAAGAAAGAGCACAGAACCCCTGGAGGCTTGTTCTTCGCATACGTATGAAGCCTGCAGACCTCTGCTGGAGACCAGCCCATCTACTGAGAAGAGGCCAACACTTCAACTATTTATACCATAAATCTGACACATTAAGCCAAAGTATCTGATTATCTAAAGCCAAGAACACATAGGGAAGGAAGTGGACAAAGTCTCAGTGGGAATCTTGTACATACTTTCTAGTCCCTTTGTCTCCCTATTAGACTTGGGCCCAGACACTCACCTTGTGCAAAGGCTTCCTGCACGTCGCCCCCAACTCCACTTAGTGAATCCTGTGGGCAGTGGGTAGGGGTGGAGCCAGCAGATGTGGAGCGGACAGGCATGGGCATGGGGCGGCCACCTCCGTGAGTGGGTGATGTATGTGGTGACGCTGTGGCCTGAGCCTGAGAGGATCAGAGAGAAGATCCATCATTTCAGGTGTCCCACCTTGCTGAGGAAGTGAGAGCCCTTCTCAATCAGTCTGAGTTAGCCAGCAGTTTGCTGATGTATGATTGTGTTTGAAAGGAAGGAGCCAGGCTGTCTCCAGGACAGGGGAAAGGAAGAAAAGGGAAGTGGAAGGGGCAGGGGAGGGAAGGGTAAGACTGGGAATAGGGCAACGAGGAGGCCAGCAGAGAGAGGAAGCCTTCAGGTGGGCAGACTGGGCAGAGCAGCAGGGCCAAGGGTCCAGGCCCCACTACAAATAATAACACACCCATCTCCATGTTTGCCTACACTCATGTATGCTGTCATGGGATCCCCCACAAACCTGTGTGTAGAAATGGCTCATCGCTTTTTTCTTTTAATTTAAGGGCTCATTGCTTTATAGAAATTTTATAGAAGAATGAAAAGAGTGTGCATGAGGCTGTGTGGCTCTCCAGTGGCCTGTCCTCTGCATGTGGCAGCTTCTACCCCACGTGAATGTGCTGCTGAGTTACATGCAGGGAGTGGGAGGCAGGCTGCTTCCCAGGGGCCTAACTTAGGACCAGCAAGGTATATTGCACTGCACCTGCCACACATGTAGGGGAGGCCTCTTGTGGGCATCCTGTGGGACCAGTGAGAGTGGACACATACTAAGTAGAGTGACCTTTCCTTGTGAAGGAAACTATAGTTTTAGAAGGGAAGCAGGGGGATTAAAAAAAAAAAAAAAACAAAAACAAAAAAAACAGTCAAAGGCCACTACTGAGCCTGGGCTCCACTGCTCTTTGGAGCCAGAGAACTGGGGGTCACAGACTGGGGTTGGTGTGGAAGTAAAACTGGTAAAATATAAGCCCAAGTATGAGAACAAGTTCAAATAAAGAGAACTCGCCTGCGATCCAGCTCAGAAACTCTGTGTACACAGAGAATGTGCCCTGAACAAGTAGGCAGGCTATATACCTAGCACCTCACTTCAGTATGGCAACCTGTGGGGACTGAGCCAAAAAAGGTGGTAGTCTGTATGGTTCTTGCTCTGAATCATTTGTGCAGTATTTTGAGAACTACAAAAAACTCAGAGAGCTAATAGGTATACCATAATAATCCACTCCGAGTGAAGTGGCTTACCTATATGTACATCTATGACTAAGAATGATATATAATATCGCCATACTTTTACATTTTACTTGAATGGTATTTTACTGCAAATACCATTTTGCAATTTGCTTTTATCTCTGCACACTCTGTGAGATCTATCCTTGATACAAATACATATGAACCTAGAACTTTACCTCACACTACACGCAAAAAGGACTCAAGTGGCTACAACAGCTAAATAGGACAGCAGGACTCACAGTAACTTAACAGCTATAACTACATAACTTCTCAAAAAAAAAAAAAAAAAGAAAATATTTTGACCCTGGGTTAAAGATTTATTAAATATGACACTGAAACTATGATACGTAAAAGAAAAAAATGGATGCAACTGATTTTTGTCAAAATTCAACACTTTTGCCAAATTAGCTAGAGGATTTTGATTGTTCTTATCACAAAGAAAATATGTGCAATGATGGATATCCTGAGTTTATCAAACACAATTTATAAATGCACCAAAATATCACACTGTACCCTTAAGAGATGTACAATTTTTTAAAAAAAGATGTTTGTTTATTTATTTATTTAGTCAGTCAGTTAGTCAGTCAGTCTTTTTTTTTTTTTTTTGGTTTTTCTCCGGTACTGGGAACCGAACTCATGACCTTGCGCTTGCCAGGCAGGCGCTTTGCCACTGAGCTAAATCCCCAGCCCCGTCAGTCAGTCTTTTGAGACAGGGTTCCAGTACGCAGTCCAGGCTGGCCTTGAATTCACTTTGTAGCCCAGGCTGGCCCCAAACTTGAAGCGATCCTCCTGCCTCAGTTTCTCAAGCGCTGAAATTACAGGTGTGTGCTATCACACCTGTACAATTATCTTTTAATTAAGAAAACTTCTGCTTTTCTAAAAACATTGTTAAATACTGTACCAAATGGGCAAATCAACTCAAAATGGACCAACAACCCTAAATGTAAGAGCTAAAACTGTAAAATTATACAAGATAACATATGGGGAAAGCTTTATGACATTAGATTAAGCAAAGAATTTCTAGATATGATACCAAAAGTAGAAGCTACACAAGAACTAGATAAACCAAACATCGTCAGAATTAAATACTGTGCTTCAAAAGATACCATCAAAAAAAAAAAAAAATGAAAAGACAACACACAGAAAGGGAGAAAAGTTTTGTAAATCATTTATCTGATATGAGACCTATGTCTAGCACATATATAAATGCCCAACAGGCACATGAAAAGATAATTTAAGATTATTAGACATTAGGGAAATGCAAATTAAAACCACTATGCAATGCCATTTTATACTCATTAGGATGGCTATAAATAAGAAAGACAGTAACAAGTGTTGGCAAGGATGTGGAGATATTCAAATCCCCATACAGTGCCAGGAGAACTAGTGCAGCTGCTTTGGAAAACAGTCTAAAAGTTCTTCAAAAGGCTAAATATCAAGCACCACACAACACAGTAATTCTACTTCTAGGTGTATCACCAAGAGAAATGAAAACATGCTCACATGAAGTCTGTATCCGAATACTCATAGTAGGATTACTCAATCCAGCCCAAAACTGGAAACTCAAATTTCTACCAATTGATGAATTACTTAAATAAAATATGGTATATCCATACAATGGAATATTATTTGGCAATAAGAAGGAATGAAATATTGATACATGCTACAACGTGATGAAACTGGAAAACATTTTGGTAAGTGAAAAAAATCACAGAAGACCATATATTATGTGATTTCATTCATATGAAATGTTGAGAAGAGGTAAATCGTAAGAGGTTGAGAACAGGTTAGTGGTTATCTGGGCTGGAGAGGGGTCTAAAAGATGAGAAATTAGTACTGGTGGGTATGAGGTTTCTTTTTGAAGTTAATGATATATTCTACAATTGATATATTATATATCAAAAGACCACTGAATTTTACACTTTAATATTGTGAATTATACAGTATGTGAACTATATTTCAAAAATTTTTTTCCCAAAAAATATTATTATAAAAAAACCATTAAGAAAAATAAGTGCCAGGGATATAGCTCAGTAGCATAGCACCTTTCTGGCAAGCACATGATCCTGAGTTCAATTCCCGGTACAAAAAAAAGCCACAGCCAGGGGGAAATATTTGCAAACTATATCTGATAAAGAACTTATGTCTGGAACCTATAAAGAATGCCTACAAGTCAACATTAAGATGACAAACAAGCCAATTACAAAATGGGCCAAGACTTGAAGAGACATTTCACCAAATGAGATGTACAAATAGGCTAATCACAACATGAAAAATGTCAACATGAGGAGTCATGAGGGAAATGGAAATTGAAAACACAATGTAATATCATTTATATTATTACACTGAAACAGCTATAATCAAAAAGACTGAGGAAGATGTGGGGAAACTGAAAGCCCTATACAATGCTGATGAGACTGCAAAAGGTGTGACCGTTTTAAAAAATGTTTCAGCAGTTTTTTAAAGTATTACATGTAGCCTTAATCATATAGCTCAGAAAATTCCACTCGTGAGTTCCTCCAAGGGAAACGAAAACACATGTCCACCAAAAATACACACAAATATTCACAGGCAACAGTGTAATGGCCAAAAAGTGGAACTCCCCCGCAAATCCATTAACTCATGAGTGGAATAACAAAAGGTGGTACTACACCACAGGATACTATGGGCTTTTTACTGCTGTTATGGTTTACATCCAGATGTTTCCCCCAAAGCCTTATGAGCTCACAGGAGGGGTTTTGTGAGGTGTGTCACCAGGAGTGTGGCCTGGAAGGGCTTTTTCCCTCCCTCCTCCTGTGATTACTCTGCTTCCTGTTGCAGCAACCTCCTGGGCCATGCCCTCTGTCATGCTGCTTTGCCTTAGAACCAGCTGACTATGGGCTGAAACCTCTACAGACTGTGAGCCAAAATAAACCTTTTCTCCTTTAACTTGTGGTGTCCCAGGGACAAGAAAGTAACTAAGACAGCTTCATAGAGTACTTTACTGTTGTTTAACTTTTAGGACAATTTTCCATTGATGACTAAATATGTTCTATTGTGTGGAATATTCGCTTCTATTTTTGTCAGTGGTTATAAAACATTTTACTAGTATTTACTTTTACAGGGTATGTATCTTTTCTTTTGTTACTTTATGAATGAATCATGAATCCTGTTTTAGCCAGTTAATATTATTACATATTAATCATTGTACTTTTGAGATTCTATTTACCTTTATCCTATTTTTAGGTCATTTTTATGTGAGAGGGAGCAGATTATAATGGATAAAACCCATGATTTAAAGATGTAAAGGTGCTGCTTTCAGGATGTAAGACAGAGCTGGAAAGTACAAATGAGTGGCCACACCCATTGATTTCAGACCCAATCCAAACTAGATCAGGAAACTGGGGAAAGAGAGGAGGGAATCTACAGAGTCCAACACAAAAAAAGTCCTATGAACTAGCAGGAGTTTGGGATGTTAAGGATCATAAAAGTATGGTGATAAGCAGAGGCCAAGGCCTTTCCTGGGCTCTGAGGGGGCCTGGGAATTCAGATGCCTCAGCCACAGAGCTGGGAGTGCTGCTGTGAGAATCAGAGCTATCTGTGATGGGATGACCACCCATGGTCTAGGTCTCATACAGGTGGAGCTGGGGACATTCCTCCCCACCAGGTCAGACTCTGAGACACAGTGCCAACCTCAGGCATAAGAAGAGGGATTAGGGTCTGTGAAGTTCTGGCTTCAGGGTTGGCCTAGAAATAGTTGGATTAAGTGTACAACTCAGACAGAGTGAGAACTCAAGGTGGAAATTAGATCCAGCTAAAGACAAAATGACGTGTGAAATTCAAACTTACTTCACTCAGAAGTGTCCCTCAGAAGACCAGCCCAGCAAGATGTACCCAGTGAGTCCTCATAAATCTTCCCTCTGTGATCTGGGCTTGAGGACTAAGCACTACAGCCACAAGCCCCAAGGTGAACACATAACTGCTTTTTAAGAACATGAAATAGAACCTCTGCCAATATTTTAATATGAAAATGATGACGGGGATGAAACGAGAGATGGGCAGTAACATGTGGCTAAAATGGCAGGATCAGGAAGAGTGAAACCTACAGCCCCAGGCCAGCTTTAAGTCATCAGCCAGTTTCCTGGCTCACTGCCCAGCAGATGCCTTCAGAGGGAGAGAAAAATCAGACTCCTGAAGTTACCTTTGTTCAGCACAGTTGAAATAGCAAAGCTAAAACCACTGGGAAAGTGATATTCTCTCTACCAGTCTTATATCCTAACCCCTGCCCTTAGCATCTTACTAGATTACAACAGTGTAGAACAGAGCTCCAGAGGCCCCTGTGAACACTGGTTCAGGCAGAGTAATGCTAACCGGCACCCTGGGCAAATCAAAGAGACCAGTTATAGTGCCCCAACATGCACCTGCCTCAGCCAGGCCCAAGGCTGAGGATTAGGAAGCCTAAAGGCTAGTTTGATCTGGAGAAGGATACACTGGTGCCAGGGTGTCAAATGACTGCTATGGGGTGGTTTTGACAAAAAGCAAGAGGTCTGACAACAGTTCTTTTGCTCTGTTGAAAGGGCTGTACTCTCCTCTGCATTTGCTCTGCCAGGCCCCTGTCTACTCCTGATGGCCCTCCAGGTGTTGGCCTTGTTGCTTCCCCCTATAGGCTGAGATGGTTCTGCAGAGGTCTGTGTATCTCCTGTCTCACCATTATCTTGCTTCTTAAATTCCATCCTCTGCATCACTGTGCTTAGCACAGATAAATGCTTAGTAACTACTTGTTAAGTGACAACGACAGGAATCAAGTTTCTGGCTTTTTTCCTTCTGTATTGGAAAGTGGGAAAGTAGCCAGAGCAGGCAATGATCTCCAGGGAGTAATAAATCTCTCTATCATCAGTAAATCTTTGTGTGAAATACTGTAATAGCCAGACCTCTGAGAAGGCCCCCAATGAATGACCCCCTCCATTCACAACCTGGAGTAAGCTCTCCTGGCATGTGGGCTTAGACGAACGGGATGCCTCTTCTGAGATTAGATGAGAAAAGATTGTGATTGTCTCGGCCACACTCCTGCTTGCTTGCTCTGATGAGGCCAGCTGTCATCTGTGAGCTGCCCTATGGAGAGGCACTGGGGTGGCTTCCAGCTGTCAGCCAGCACTGCATCAAGACCTTCATCCCACAAATCACAAGGAACAGAGCCCTGCCAATAACCATGGGAGTTGTTGAGCCTTGAGGTGATTGTAGTCTTCTCAGAGAGCCTGAGCTGAAGGACCCAGGAACACAGCACCCAGTTCCTGGCTCGCAAAAGCTGCGGAATAATCGCTATTTGTTTATCTAAGCTACTAAGGCTCTCAGGCAACTTGTTGTGTAGCAACAAGTAACTTATACATAAGGCTGATTTAAAAAAATATATCAATAGATCAACTGCATATGCTGAACATTTGACTGACAAGGGGACTAGAGGAATTTGGGGATATGTAATATTAGGACCAAAGGGCCTCATGGCAGGCCAAAGACCCAGGAAAGTGGCTATGGATGAGAAGAGAGGGAGGGTTATTTTATCAGCAACATATCTTCCTAACTACGAATGTGCCCAGGGTCTGGAATGCATCAGCCTGTCCTGACATGGATGGTTTCAGCTTCTTTGCCTTGTTGATAATTACCAGCACCCACCAGCATTTTTCTGCTTCCTGAAGAAAGGGGCAGTGCACATTCTGAGATGCAATCCCAGCTCTTCTCAGCACCTGGGTGGACTCTTAGAGGGGCAGATGGAGTCAGTGATAGAGCATGGAACAGAGGTTGGGGATTTTCTTCTTAACTGTGCAGCACACATACCTGACCATTTCTGGGCCTCTGTAATCTTCACCAGGTAACCTCATCTCAGAAATGCTAAGTGACTATGGCATGCCTTTATCTGAACCACTTTTGTCAGTGACGAACACACTTCTGAGGGTCACAGGGATCTCACAGTTCCATCACGGCACATTCTACTTGCAATCTGCCTTCCTCACAATGAAGTCAATGCTAGAGATGCTGAGCACGGAAGCCTAATACAGATGAAGCTGATTAGGAGGTTCAGGGAGCAGGCCCCTGTGCAGAGAATGGGATTATCTCCAGAAACACAGAAACAAGGTCCTTTCAATTAAACAAGCACAAACTGTGCACACAATCTGAAACTACACCTGCAATGCAAACAGCCCTCTCAGTTTGCTGACATACACTGTTAACTCTGCCTACATGACAGACACGGGTCAGAAAGGTACATGCACTGCACTGCACAACTTCACCTTGTCTCACGAGCACAGATGGGCTTTATGCTTTCAACCAATCCAGAATAAGCAGCAGAGGGGAAGCTGGTGGGAGGACCCCACAAAGTCTGTCAAGGTGGAGGAGCTAGTTGGGTGCCCAAGGGGAAGAGGACCAGCTGCCCAATAATAGGCTTAAACCACTGTGTACCTCTGGATTTTAGCTGCCAGGAGAGGGGCAATTAGCCTGGCAAAGCAAGGGAAACTGCAACATGCTACTGAGTGTTTTAAGGTTTCTTGGTGTAAGGATAGTGGGATCTTGTAACCTATAGCTAAGACTCAAATCAGCACAGGCCAATCATCTGTCTAACCAGTAACTTAGCACAATAAGAGCCCTGTAACTCAGTTTCTCAGAGCACAGATGTCCCTTGTAGTTTCAAACAATTCTGCTGGAACGTAGGGCTAGAGACACAATCTGAGCAGCTTTCTAGACTGCTGGCTCTTCACTTTTCAGGCCAGCAAAGACTCTTGAGAACCCGAGGAAGCTATGCATCATGTTTCAAGAAAAGTGATCAGAAATTAGACTTATAATTTCAAAGGACCATAGATAAATAGCTTGTTTTAGGCCAACATTCATTTGTATTTGAGACAACTGAGACCTAGAGTGGCTACAGGTCACAAGGCTAGAAGAGCACCTGGGTCTTCTAGTGGTCTCACACTGCTAGGAGAAACGTAAGCATGCTGGGATCTTAGCACCATCTTTTTAAGGTCAAAAAGGACATGAATCAGTCAAGACATCTTGTTACAAAAGTTGACTATGATTTTCTATAGAAGAGTCTATTTCACCGGACATGATGGCACTTACCTGGAATCTCAGCACTCAGGAGGCTGAGGTAGAGGGATCATTGCGAGTTCAAGGCCAGCCTGGGCTACAAAGTGAGCTCAAGGCCAGCCTGAACTGCACAGCGAGACCCTGTCTCAAAAAAAAAAAAAAGGAGTCAATTTCATTTCCTGTAAGTTAAAAATGTGGGAGAGGAGAGTACAGGGAGTAATGACTTAGTCCCTTATCTAGAACACAGATCTAATACTGGAGCCAATACAGGTACAGAGAGTGCCAGAGAGGTGAGCTGAGGACACAGTGATCCCTCCCTAGCCCTGCAACTGAACACAGAGACAGGGACTCACATGGTAAGGCAGAGAATTGCTAGAAGGCCAGCTGCACAGACAGAAGAGCACTGTCTTTAGTAGAAAAATGATACTGCTTCTGGCCGTGTTTAGGCATCCCCAGCATGGTGCCTGGCACACAGTAGGGGCACCATAAATAGTACTTCCCTTCTCCCTTGTGAAGGTAGGAGTTGTCTTATTTTCTTGGTATGCAAGATAGTCATGTAACCAACCCCTGGAGGTCAGTGGCAAAAAGCCTGCTGTGACAGCTAATGTCCTCCGTGGGCTTAATAATAGCACAGCCTCCACCCCATGCAATCCCCAAGTAGGGTACTATCACGACAACAGAGTAGAGGACACTGCAGCCTCCACCCCTCTCTCTGACTCATGGCTACCTGCCAGGCAGCAGATGGCCTATGTGGACAATTACCTCCATTTTGTTGTACTATAGTTAAATTAAACAAACTGGCCTTTTTGCTGCCAATTTTCAGAGGCCCTAGAAGGCAGCGTTGGGAGAAAGAAGCTAATGTAGACAAGACATGAAATGTAGACAAGACAACCACGGCTGTATGGAAGCTGGGATGGATAAAGAACTTTGAGTGGACTTTGAACATCTTCTCTAACGGGAAGCAAAAGCCCTTCATGCTATTTCAAGGTGATGCTGGTCACATTATGTTTGGAAGACACAGCTACCTCACTGACTATAGGAGAACAGAACAGATAGGGGACAGATTTTCTGTGGTTGCACTGTTTGTCCTGCTGCAAGATGAGAAAATAATTGCTTACCTGGCAACAGTTCAGGCTGCTGAGAGTTAGGACTGGGGATGGAAGTCACAGACATCATGGACCAAGATGAAGGAGATGTTTGAGTGAGAGCAAGCAGCAAAGCAGAAGGCTGCTAGCAGTCTCCTCTGGAATGAACCAGATGCCTGGAAAGGACATACTTGGAGGTGTTTTGTCTTAGCAACATGCCCACCTGGAAGCTACCCTCAGTACAGCCTTTGAAAGACAAATATGACTTCTAAACATGGAGAGAGGGGCTGAGGAGTTTATGATGTTCCTCTGCTCTTTTCACCATTAATACATGTGTGTACCTGTTGTATGTCTGCTGGAAGGATAACGCTACCAACAAGTCTGCCATGAGGTCTTGGCAGCACAGAAGGTTGACCCTTGTTTGTTCCACATCACATCAGGTACCTCAGGGTGCAGAAATGACCCACCAGTCACTGTGGTGTGCATGGGGTGTTCTGTGACTGCTGATGTTCTGTGATGAAGGTGTTGGCAATGGGTAAAAGGTTAAGGTTCTCAGTCTTTATGATTTTGTCTCCAGTAAAGACATGCTAAATTACACAGAAGACAGCTTACTCCAATACTTAAAGGGATGGATGGTAAGATGTTTAGTTATTTTTTAGTGGAAATAGGAAGGCATATTGAATTACTGGAACAAAGAACAATCTATTGGAACTCACCATAAACCCAAAGATCAAAAGAAAGTTGAAATTTAATCTTTTAGCTAAGCTCATAAATCCCATTTTAGAATTATTCTTTTTCTGTTGGTTTCCCTTCATTTACCCAACCCCATGTAAAGTTGGTCTCCCTTGTTAGTCCTCATTGCAGGATTTAAAGCCAGTTCTTAGCAAACTGATTAGGGATCTCATGGAGAGAAAATTCCCCATAAAATGAATACCAAACACTCAGATTGCATATTAGAAACAAAAACTAACATAGTCTCTCAGGATGGTGTGGTCCTTATTCAGACAGATATCAATTATGAGGCAGGAAGGAATGATATTTTAAAGTCCAATGAGTCCAAGTTAACTGCTTATCGGTAAGCAAAACTTGTGTATGAAGTACGGCTCCTTTATTCAATAACACTGTACTTTTCTTCTACTGCTTGTGATGGTTAAGCTTAACTGTCAACTTGACTGGCTTTGAAATTGCCAACAGGATTAGTAAAGCATACTTCTGGGTGTGTCTGGGTGGGCTGTTCCTGGCCCCTTCTTCTCTGGTGCTATTCCCTTGCTCTCTTTCCTGGCCACCATGACCTAAGCAGCTTTGCTCCACCATGCCCTTCTATCATAATGTGCTTTTCTTGAAGCCACGCTCCAAAAGCTCTGACACTGTGGGCAACCTCTGAAACTAAGGAAAACGATACTGCTCTTGGTGATGTTTAAGCATTCCCAGTGTGGTGCCTGGCACACAGTGCCATAGTGCCTTCTCTTCTTGTAGAATAGGTAGGAATTGTTTTATCTCCTTGGTACAAAAAAATAAATCCTTTCTCCTTTAAGTTGTATATGTTAAACATTTGGTTCCAGCAATGAAAAGATGTCTAATATAAAAAACTGGTACCAGAGAATGGGGTCACTGCTATGACTATACCTGACTACGTGGTTCGGAAGCCTTTGGAATTGGTTTGGAGAGTTTGGAAAAGTTTGGAGAACTGGGCTAGAGAGGCCCTAGAATGCTGTAAAAAGAGATTTTTGTTTTGTTTTTGTTTGAGACAGGGTCTTGCTATGTAGTTCAGGCTGTCCTTGAACTATGTAGTTCAGGCTGTCCTTCAACTCAAGGCAGTCTTCCTGCCTCTGCCTCCCAAGTACTGGAAATACAGGCATGTATCACCACACCCAAATAAGATGAGCTTTATAGGTGATCATGGTCAGAGCTCAGAAGACTAGAATGCTAATAGGAATGTGGACAGCAAAGGTCAGGCTCATACAGTTTTAGACTGGAATGAGGACTGTGTTCAGAACTTGACTAGAGGCCATGTATGCTACACTCTGGGAAACAACTTGTCTGTCTTCTACCATGGACTGACACTTTGCAGAAGGCTAAACTTAAAGACTAACTGATCTAGTAGAGGAACTCTCAAGGCAGCCCAATGTTCAGGCTAGGGCATGGGTACTACTAGCTGCTTTTGGTCACATGTACTTTTACTAACTATGTGTTCTTAACCTCTCTGTACCTCAGCAGAGCAAAAGTATTTGAAAAACTTAAATGTTGGCCAGAAAAGAACTATGTGTAGAGATGGGGCTGGAGGAGGTGTGGTTGCCATTAGACAGAAACCAAGGAATCAGCAAGGCCCCACCTATCACTGACTAAAGGGTGCAAAAGTATAGCCCTTTCTGTTGAAAAAAGAGGGGTGACAACTGCAAGCATCTTGAAGGTGTAACTACAATAGGTAGAAGGGCTTGAATAAGGGATGAAGGCAATGAAAGGACATGAGTGAAGGCCCTGGGGCATGAGTAGGAAGTGTTCTTGGGAATAAGGGAGGACAAGAGGCCAGTGTGCAGACAGCATAAAAGGTGTCTAGAGCTGAAAGAGCAGTGTAGGCAGTGATAATCCAGAGCCACCTAGTTTATTTCACAGGTCACAGATGGGTAAACTAGAGCTCATGGCAAGTATGGATTGCCACTTTTTAAGTAGTCCATGAGCCAAGTGTTTTTTGTTGTTTTTCTTTAACTTTTTAAAGTGGTTATATTTTAAGGGATTGTAAATACCTACAGAGAATCTTGCTTTTGGCCCCCCAAAAGCTGAAAACATTTATTGTCTAGCCCTTTAAGAAGCTTGCTACCCCCTGCTACAGGCAATGGCAAGAGAGAGCTACTCCAGATTTCTGATGAGGGAAGTCATGTGGCCAGTGTACTCCGTGTTTAGGAATCCACTTTTGGACAATGTGAAGGATGGACAGGGTGTGTGTCTATATGTAGTGAGTTTAAGAGACAGGATACAGAAGCCCTATAATGTATGACACATATCCCAATTGAACAGGTGGCAGATAATGGAGGCTGGAACAAAGAGTGGTGTCAGGAACAGACAGGAAGAAGGAGATGCAAACGACTTTTAGGACACAAAATTGACCAGACCTTGGTGACTAAAACAGAAACACAGAAGACTGGAAGGTTGTTGGTATGAGTGTGGGGTGTTCTGGCAATGACATTGAGAGGCAAAACATATGGAGAGAGGAGTTATCTATGTGAAAAGAAGCCTGGAAATCTTTCACCATCCCCGCCAAACCCATGCTTGAATACTGGGGACTCAGTGCCTTGGTGCACATGGACATCCCAGAGGTCTCTGGGCTATATGCAGGGCTTCCTAACTGGGATAATTTTATTCACTAGTGTGGGAGCATTTGGGAGATATTAAGGATGCTGCTAAACTTGCCATAATGCACTAGGTAATTCCCCACAAAACAGTTATTTGGCTCCAAATGGCAGTCATACCAAGGGAAAAACCTAGCTGCAGGTGACTCAGAATCTTAAAGGGCTCCCCCCGCCCCCGCACTTCCCCTTGGTGCTGGAGATCGAACCAATGGCCTTTCTCATGCCTGACAAGTGCTGTACCATTGAGCTATCATGGTAGCCCTGTCCAGGGCTTTCTTCCTGGGTGGCAAGCTGCTGTAGAAGAGGCTACCAGTGGCCTCAATTTCAGTGAGAACTTTCAAGCACCAGGGGTAGACTCTCAGCTCCTGTACACTTGGGAGATGTCCCTAGGGCAGTCATATGCCTGAGATTCTCTTAGTTTCATTTTTAATTTCCTGAAGCCTGAGCTAGTTAAATATAGGAGCTGTTATGTAAAATGTGAAAGCAATTAATGAGACGTATTTAAGTTACTATAAGCTTTATTATTATACTTAATAAAGCACTAGATTTATGGTTAGTTATCTATATAGAGAGTAGTGAGAGGGTATGCACTCTTATTTTAAAGGTACCACATTAGTTTCAGTTAACTTCTTCTGTGCATTGCCTCTGATTTTAGGAAACACCCTTTTATTTTTACTTTGCTAAACATTATGACATCTATACTGGAGCCCCAAATGTGAGTGAATCTTTTGCTAAATGATGATTAGTGGTAAATGGAGAAGAGTAAAACATGGTCTACCACAACCTTTATGGTATTGTTCTTATAGTGGAACTGAACAGAAGTTCTTCTGGTTACAAACTCTAGGCCAAGAAGCACTGTACCTGATGGTTTCTTTTGTCTGGAAATAACTGGAGGTAAGCGGTGGGCATAAGTAAGCCCTGGGGGAGTTAGTTATTGAAAGAAAGTCCAGACAATGAAGTGAGGGCCAAAGGATTTCAAAGTCACCAGTGGAATGAACCCAACTGGATTTCTGTAGAACCTTCTTGGTTTAAAGTCTTTTACCAAGTGAGTGGTATCAGTGATGAAAGATCAAAGAATCATGGGTTTGGAAGTTTATAGGTAAGGTCTGTGGAGGTTGTGCACTTACATAGGTGGAAAAAAAGTAACATTTTGCCAAGAAGGCTCTATTGGAAAGGCAATGGATTCACATGTAACTCACTAAGGCAGATTTAAACGTCTTCATAGAAGTGAGGTTACTGTAAAGAGAGGACAGGTTGGTGGTGGGAGGGAGGTGGCTAGATGAGACAAGGCCAATTTTTCAGAACTACTGAATTCTACTTCTCCAATGAAACTTTATTGCCAAAGTTTCTAGGAGTTCTGGGAAGATGGTGGTGTGGTAAATAGCAGGATAAAGAGCCTCTCTGAGATTTCTTGCCCAGATGCTAAAATACAGCAAAGTCCAGATGCTGGAATAGAGCATAGGAGGGAAGTGGGACCCCAGCACCCAGCAAGAATCTTAAGTGAGAATTAAAGCCCACAGGGAGAGTAAAGAGAGAGCTCTTAATGCAGAAGAGGGAAGTGACAAGTGCTGCTTTCTCCCTGAGCCCTGGCTCACTGCATGTGAAGAGTGGCTTGAACTTGCAGATGCATGGTGACCTCTCCCAAAGATCTCTATGGAGAAACATACCAGTGGAACAGAGCAGTAGACATAGCATATGGCAGTGGTTGATGAATTATTTGGGTTCAGATGTCCCCCAGGAGAGGGTGATTGGCCAGTGGCAATTTTGGAGAGGGGCCAAATGAGCTCAGAACTCAGAGCAGCTACAGGTTGCCTCCATCTAGCAGCTCCAAGTATCAGGGTGAGGTGCAACTGAGTTCAAGTTTGCAGGAGGTCATGGAGCTGAGTTTAAGCCAGCAGAAGCATACAGAGCATAGCAGGGTGAACAAACTGGGTTCCAGCCTCACAGCCAGAAATCAACCTGAACTTTGGTGGAAATAAAGGTGCATGTTTGCTGGGATTATCCACTACCCTGCCATAAATCTATGCGTAGCTTGCTGGGATTAATCAACACAGATTTGGGCTCTGTCTCTGCTTACTCTGTCTACCAGTGAGAAAGTGGACACTTTTTCTACCTTTCTTTTTCAAGTTTTTTTGTTCTGTTCTTTTTATTTCTTCCTTTTCTCTTTCTCTCCTGCCTTCATCAGTTTCCTAAAGTTTTTGTAATCTTCCATTGTCCTTCAGCCTTGCTTCTAATCTCTTTTTCTTCTTCTATTTCTCTATTTTTTCTCCCTAATCCCTTTTAAATTTTCTCCACTGAGGGTAAAATTGCCATATTGCGGGCATATTTACTGTATACAATTTTCTGGTCTGTTTTAGATTTTGTTATATAACCACAAATATAGTTCATACGGTTAAAGATGGCAAATTAATAGTTACCACAGTTTGTCATTTTCTAGGCTGTGTTTGATGCTACTGTTATTGCTGATTGTACTACTTTAGCCAAAGCGACATAAGTGTTCTAATGAGCTGTTCTTCCTGGTATGCCAAGACTGAGATTGCCTAAGGGTCATAAACAATACTATAGGCCAGTGCCAAAGAACCAGGGGCTGGGCCAAATATGCAACAACTTCTCATGCCCAATAAATCAAAGAGGTAGGATCCTGCGACAGACTCAAAAGCCAAAAGCCAGCTACATCTGGAAGATATCTCTGAGAAGTAGTCATCTTCTAGGGGTTCTAAATACTAGCAATAAAGCTACCAGCCATAAACAATTTATAAGCATCAACCCAGGAGTTAAACTTAAAAAAAAAACAGAGGGAGAGCGAAGCCATTTAAGCAAGATGCAACCCCAGACTTCCAGCTCACCAAAGGCAAATCCAGGGGGCAATAAGATGGAATAATCTGAAAGTGACCCACCTGGGCTCTCTGAAGTGGTAACAGTAGAAGTAACAAAGCAGATGAATAAGGCTCTAGAAAAAAATCAAATCAGAAATAATTTCTCAGATAAATACAAAGATGGTAAACATAATGAAAGACATGTTAGTGACTCCAGAGGAGACACACATTAAAAAATATAGGAGCTGAGGAAAGTGATAGAAACCTTGAACACCCAACATAGGAAAGAAATGGAATCCATAAAACAGATTCAAACTGATATCCAGGAAGTTAAAAATTCCACTGAAAGTATATGTACTAGAATGAGCCAATGTGAGGACAGAATATCAGATCTAGAAGACAGGTATGTGGTTAGTCATCATGAAAAGAAAGATTTATTAAAAATAGCAAGGGACTATGAAAAATAAATCCAACAGCTGCGAGATGATGCCAATATAATTGATTAGAGTCAATGAAATGTAGCACAAATGGCATAAAGAGACCTGTTCACTTAAGTAATGGCAGAAACTTCCCAAGCATGGAAAAAGAATCTGACATATAGGTAACTGAGGTATACAGAACACCAATTAGCCACGATAAAAAACTATACCAAGACATAGTAGTCAAGATTCCAGAAATTCAACCCAAGAACAGAGTATTAAAAGCTGTTACAGAAAAGAAAGAAATCACATATAAAGGAAAACCCAACAATCACAACAGACTTATCAGTCCTCAAGTCAAAGAGAGGTTAGAGTGAAGTATTTCAAGCCCTAAAAGAAAACATCTAACTCAGATTGATATACCCTGCAAAACTCTTTCAAAATTAATGGAAAAATAAGATACTTCCATGACAAAGAACACCTGAAGAAACTCATAATCACCAAAACAGCACTGCAATATGTTCTGAAGGACATTCTAGAAAGAGATAATGAGAACTATAATGGAATGAATATGCCAGGCAAAGTAGGTAATTAAACAGGAGGGAAAAAAAGGGGAACCAACAATAGGAAAATAATATGACAAGGGTAAGTCAATATAGATCAGTTATAGCCATCAATGTACATGGTCTAATTCACCAATCAAAAGGAACAAACTGAAAGAATAGATCAAGAAGCAAGATCCAACAATATGCAACATACAAGAAACACATCTGATTAAAAAAGAAATTCACAGACTGAAAGTCAAAGGATGCAAAACAATACTCCATGTGACAGTAACCAGGAAAAAAGCAGGGGTAACTTTTCTATTTGCAGATAAAGTGGGTTTCAAGCTAAGACTGATTAAGAAAAACAAAGGTCACTACATCCTTGTAATGGGAACATTTCAAGAGGAAGAGATAACAGTTATAAATACTTATGCACCAAAAACCAGTGCACCCAACTATATAAAAGACATGAAAAACCAAATAAGCACTAATATAATTGTATTGGGGGACCTCAATACCCCACTGTCACAAACTGATCAATGAGACAAAAAAAATTAACAAAGAAATATCAGAACTGAACCAAACTTCTGACATCAACTTTAGTAGATATCTACAGAGTATTCCACCCCACATTATTAGAATACACTCTTCTCAGTCACATATGGTATGTTTTCCAAAACAGACCACATACTAGCCTATAGAACATGGTTAGGTAAATTTTAAAAAACAAACTGAAATTATCAGACCATACTGCAATGAAATTGGAAATCAATGGCAAAAGAAACTACAAAAATGTCATAAACACATGGAAATTAAATAACACCCTCCTGAACAACCAATGTGTCAGAGATGAAATTAAAGAAGGAATTAGTTTCTACAATGAAATGATAATGTCAATACAACATACTGGAATTTACAGGACTGCAATGAAAGCAGTCCTATGAGGGCAATTAATAGTAAAGAATTCCTGCATCACAAAAACACAGTGAGCTCAAATAAACAACCTAATGTTGAACCTTAAACTTCTAAAAGAAGAAGAGCAAGTCAAGCTCAAAGCTCATACAAGGGAGGGAATGATAAAGATCAGAGCAGAAATTAATGCAATAGAGAATAAAAAAATACAAATCAACAAACTCTTAGCTAATCTCAAAAAAGGAAAGAAAAGACTCAAAATTTTGCAATTAGGAATTAAAAAGGGTAAAATCACAGTGGCTCTTACTGAAATCCAGAAGATCATTAACACCAACTTCAAGAACCTGTATGCTACTAAGACAGAAATCACAGAAGAAATGGACTGATTCCTAGATACATATGAATTACCAAAGCAGAATCAAGAAGATATAAAAATTCTAAATAACCTAGCATCAATGAAATTCAAGATGCAGTTAAAAACTTACCAACAAAGAAAAGCCCCAGCCCTGATGGATTCACTGCTAAATTCTACAAGAAATTTAGAGAAGACCTAATGCTGCTACTCCTCAAACTCATCAATGAAATTTAAAGGGCTTTTCTTTGTTAGTAAGCTTTTAATTACATTTCAATTTCACTGACTGATATTGGGTTCTTCAGAATTTTTATGTCTTCTTGATTCAACTTTGGTAATTCATCTCTCTCTCTCTATATATATATATATACACATAAAACTGTCAATTTCTTTTGTGTTTTCTCTCTTATTAGAGTAAAGGTTGTCAAAGTAGGTATTGATCTTTTGGATTTCTGCAGGAGCTGCTGTGATTTCACCCTTTTTAATTCCTAATTGCATGAATTTGAGTCTTTCCTTTTTTTTTTTTTTTGGTTAAGGTTCACTAACAGTTTATCAATTTTATTTAATCTTTCGAAGAACCAACTCTTGGATTCATCAATTCTTTGCTTTGTTTTCTTAAGTCTCCATTGCATTGATTTCTACTCTGATCTTTATAATTTCCTCCCTTGTATGACCTTTGGGCTTGATTTATCCTTGCTTTTCTAGAAGTTTGAGGTTCAACATTATGTTGTTTATTTGAGCTTGTTCTATTTTCTTGATATGAGAGTTCACTGCTATTAATTTTCCTCTTAGGACTTTTTTTCATTGCATTCCATAAGTTCTGGTATGTTGTACTGGCATTATTATTTAACTGTATCTTCCCAAAGGAATTAAAAACATCATACCCATGTTTATAGCAGTACAGTTTGTAACAGCTAAATCTTGGAGACCCAAATGCCTATCAACCAATGAATGGATAAAAAAAAAATGTTGTTTTTTTAGATAACAGAATACTACTCAGCCACAAAGAAGGATAAATTTGAGACATTTATAGCTAAATGGATAGACTTTGAGGTCATACTCTTAAGTGAAATAACTCAGACACATATGTGTGAATATTGCATTGCATTTCTGGCACAAGAAACTGAAAGTGTAAGTAAGAACCAAAATATATAATACATATTGTGACATAGGAAGTAACTGTTCAAAAGGAAAGGGGAATTGGGGGAAGGATAGAAAGGAAAAAAAATGAAATGGAAAAGCTTTCTGGGTTTTTTTGTTTGTTTGTTTTTCCAGGTACAGGGAATCGAACTCATGACATTGCGCTTGCCAGGCAGGCGCTGTGCTGCTGAGCTAAATCCCCAGCCCCAAAGCTTTTTTTTCTTGAGACAGGGTCTCACTAGGCGGTTCAGGCTGGCCTTGAGCTCACTTTGTAACCCAGGCTGGCCTCGAACTCCCAACGATCTTCCTGCCTCAGCCTCCCGAGTGCTCGGATTACAGGTGTGGGCCACCATGCCTGGCTGAAACAAAGCTTTGTGAATGAGAAGAGGGATTGAAGAGAGAGGAGGGGCATGGGAAAAAAGAGAGGAACAATGATATATCATGTACAGGAACAAATTTCCTATGATGAATGTCATCATTACACATATCTAAATTGTACCAATAAATTTAATTGTAAAATAAATAAAAGTCATCATAAAGTTTTAAAAAAAAATTAAAAACAGGAAAACAACCAAAAAACAAGACAAAACAAAAAAAAATAAAGGGACACGATACTCCCAAAGTCATTCCTGGAAGAAGTATTACCCTGATACCAAAACCAGAGAAGGATCCAACCAAAAAAAAGAGAACTACAGGCCAATCTCCCTAACTGAAATGAACAGAGACTTCTCAGAAGAAGAAATACAAATGAATGAATGATATATAACATGAAAAAATGTTCAGCATTTCTGGACATTAGAGAAATGGAAATTAAAACAATACTGAGATTCCATCTTACTCCAGAAAGAATGTTGATGTCAAGAAATCAAACAATAACAAATTCTGGAGGGGCTGTGAGGGAGAAAGGAGTCCTTCTACATCATTAGTAGGAACGTAAACAAGTACAGTCACTATGGAAATCAATATGGACATTTCAGAAACTAGAAATTCCATTTGACCCAGGTATACCCCCTGTGGGTATCTTTTTGAAAGAGTTAAAGACAGCATATTACAGTTTTCCATGCATAACCATACTTATAGCAGCACTATTCTTTTTTTTTTTTTCAAGGCAGGGTTTTACTATGTAGTCCAGGCTGGCTTTGAACTCACTATGTAGCCCAGGCTAGCCTCGAACTCATGGCAATCCTCCTGCCTCAGCCTCCTAAGTGCTGGGATCACAGGTCTGCACCACCATACCAGGCTATGGCACAATTCATAATAGCTAAATCGTGGAAGCAGAGTATATATGCCCATTAACAGATGAATAAAAAAATATGATTTTATATACAGTGGAGTACTACTTAGCCATAATGAAGTATAACTTTGGGTGCACCTTGAGACTGTAATGTTAAGTGAAATAAATCAGACACACAAGCTTAATATTGCATAGTTTCTCTTATATGAAAAACCCAAAATATAAATATAGAGCAAAATAAAAGATAAGAGGGATTAGGGAGACAGAACTTTTACAAATGGAAAGGGGACCAAGAAATGGAAGGAGGGCAGAGAGAGGAAAGCATTAGGGGATGAAAATAAGAATTAAGATATATACAAGTAGTATCAATTCCCCATGAGCAATGTAATCATTATGTACTGAGAACTTTCTCACCTCATACCATGATAGGGAAAGCTGAGACCAAATTATCTATACCCACTGGTGCAATGGGTAATTCCACAAGACTCTGAGTTGCTTGTTTACATGTGGGTCTTGGAAACCTTCCAGGGCCAAGGTCCTATAAGCACATGGGTCCTCTAGAGTTTTCTCATTTTGGCAACTTCAAGGGGATGATGACCTCACACAGAATGAAAGGTCACCAAAATGAACATGTTGGTTTTTTTGCTATTTTGAGACAGGGTCTTGCTATGTAGTTCAGGCTGGCCTCAAACTCAGTGATCCCCCTTCCCTCAGCTTCCTGGGTGCTGGGATTAGAGGTATGAGCCACCATGCTCAACTTAAGGTCAGTTTTAAATTAACCTGAAAAAAAAGCACAGTGGTAGCAATTCCCATTCTTGGATTACATGGTATTCTATAAAATTTGAAAAAAAATAAAGTAACTATTGGAAGCTCCATGGCTACCATTATAATAAGGATCCACAACATCACTCTCTTCTGTAAGAGAGGTCCTAGGCAGGGCGGTGGGTGTTTCCCAATGGTGTGTCACTTTGAGCTGGCACATTCAGAGGGAGATGCCAGTCTGGGAGATTGTTGGAAATAAATTCCCAGTAAGAGGTTTTAGTTATAGAGTACTTTTGTGTGGTACATGGAGGATGAGAAGAAGGGGAGCACTGGTGGTCAGCAAGTACCTGTGTGGTGGCCCTGGATTGGCAGGAGGGCAGACTGAGATGAGGGGATGAGACTGGATGGATAACCCTCCCTTCCCTCCAATCTAATCTCTCACTCTCCTACTTGTGTGAGGCTTCACCAACATTTGCTTTTCTGCTACTTCTAAACAAACTGCAGGATTACACTTCCCCACCCTCTTGAAGTTAAGCATGGTCATGTAACTTGCTGTGGCCACTGAGATAGAGTAGAACTGACACAGATGACTTGCTCAGAGAAGCACTTAAAGGTTGGATTTGATTTTCCATCATGCTCTCTTCTGCTCTACCCAGGTAAATGTACCTATTCATGCAGAAGTGGTGTAAGATCAAAGAGAGAAACTTTACCTGGATCAGGGAGACAAATCAAACCAAACCAAACAAGAACAAAACAGCCAGGTATGGTGGCTCATGCCTGTATTCCCAGCACTCAGGAAGCTGAGGCTGAGGCTGAG